CAACCTTTTCTTTTGTTTTGAAATCTACTACATGGTTAATGATCTGCTTTGATATCATGTCTTGTCGGAGCACGAAGAATTTGACAAAGTTTTCAATTACCTGTTTAAAGAGAAACAAAAATAGCTTTAATTCAATGTACTCCTCCCACCGTCCCTAAATATATAATATATAGTAAAATTATGCAAATCAAAGAGTCAGTTTGTGCAGTGCTCAAAAAAAAAAAAACAGAGTTAGTTTGTGTTTGAACAATTTTTTTTTCCAAATCTGTTCCTAAAAAGATCTTTTAAAATATCATAAAATTCTAAACTATTTCTTATAAAAAGAGACAGACTGAGAGAGATTAAAAAATTATACTATATTTAGACTATGGTCAGCTAAATACTGCCGAGATATTAAATTTATTTTACTCTTATTTGTGAGCCATTTGAGCCTAATCCTTTTGTAATTGGGCTTAAGAGCCCACAAAACATCAAATGTTCGCCATATTAAAGGCTAATCAATACTGCATTGGGTTAATGCCTTTAGTGGAGTATTTTTATAAAAATAAGGATAGAAATAAGGTTTAATAGAATGAAGCAATTTATATTGATATGGCATGGAAAGAAATAAAATGAACAGTTATATATTAGTTGGATGATAATATCCAAATAAAAATATATTAATATATTTTATTATCGCCTTTTAATTATTTTAAACATGTACTACTATATTTGATTTAAAAAAACAAAATATTCAGTTTTCAAGCTTTTAATTGTGGAGTCCAGTATTCAAAAATCATTAATAAATGCCGCCAGCGATTCGGTAGGGTTTGGTTATGCGTTGTTTGATGCAACCGGGTTTGAAAACATGTCCTCAACATTAATCTTGATATGCTCAATGATCATTAATTAATATTGCTTCCCCGTACGTGCTACTACAGTTTGTTTTCTTTTCTTTTCTTATTAATTTTAGTATTTTAGAGATTTTATTATCGTTGTGATAAGATTTTATGTCTTCTTGTTAAGTCATTACTCTTTGAAATTATCACACGCGTACTAAAATTGCTCCGAAACTTATGGAATACTAGGCTGTTTGGAAGGGTTTAAAAAATCCCTGAATGTTTTATATAAGTTAAAACAAAATTCATTTTATATACTTGTCTTGTATTCTGTAAATTATTATTAAAAAGCTACTTATAAGCTGTTCCAAACAGGTCTATTATCATTCATGAATTGATATACGTTTCACATAAGTCGAGACAAAATTTTTCTCACATATTTACCTTGTATTTTATAAATTATAGTTAAAAAAACTATTTATAAGCTATTCTAACAGGGATGATGGCCTAAAAATGATATGGATATACTGATTTTGTTTTCTTTTCTTTCTTTTTTGTTGACAAAAGAAGCCTGGGTGAGTTAAGTCTAACAGAATAATGACATGACTTTAGACTTTGAGAGCATTTTTTTCTTTGTAAGTCAAAGCATTTTTTTTTCCCAAGAAATTCAGAATCCATGACATTTGTAGGATTAATTGAACTTTAGTAGACACTCCCACCAATAAGATCTATTTTGTCATGTAAATTATACTACAAAATAGGTTTTATATTTAGAATTTGATGAGTATTGTTTTTGTTTTTGTATTTGGAGACCAACGCTAGACTATATAATCGATATATGTGTGCGTAAAGTAAATATCATAAAACATGGCCCTATAAATTACAATGATCAAATATTCAAGCCTCCCATGGTTAAAATAAGGGAAAATGACAGATAAAGAAGCTCCAAATGTGAAATGCCAATTTGGGAAGCTAAGAAAATGTAATTACCCATAGGGAAGTCCTTCTCAAATTGGGATTTGAAATTCAGTGAAATGACAAAAATGCCCTTTGTTCTTTTTTTTTTTTTAAAAAAAACCCAGCCCCTTACCGGCGGCCGGCGGCCGGTGACCGGCGACCACCGCGGGCGACTGGCCTCCAGCGGAGGCCGACCGCCTTCGGCCACCGGCGCCGGCCACCGGTGTGGTGGCTGCCGGTGAAGGATTTTTGTGACGAGATTTTTTTTTTTTGGGAATAGGATAATATTGGTTCAAAGTGGCGGGGGTGGGATTTGATCCCACAACCCCTTGGCCACTTGGACCAACAAAAGGATGGCCATTGGGCCATCAAAGATTTCTTAACCTTATAATGCAAACAAAAATATAAGTTAACTCTTTTAGTGTGACTCCAGCTCGTGACAACAATTTATCTGAGGATGACAAGTCTTAATTGAGAAATAACAAGTCTAAATTTGATATTAACAAAACAACTTTTCGTTATACATAACAAGAAATACCGAATAAATTGTTATTATTTTTCAACAAAGACGTGTCATTTTTAAATAAATTATGATCATTTTTTAAAAATGACACGTCTTGTTGAAAAATAACAACAATTTATTCGGTATTTCTTGTTATGTATAACGAAAAGTTGTTTTGTTAATATCAAATTTAGACTTGTCATTTTCCAGTAAAGACGTGTTTTTTTCAAATAAATTATGGTCATTTTTAATTAACATAGATGCTATTTCTTGTTATGTATAAGGAAAAGTTGCCTTGTTAATATCAATTTTAGACTTGTCATTTTATAGTAAAGACGTGTCATTTTTAAATAAATTATGATCATTTTTAATTAATGCACATGCTGCTATGTTATGTATAAGGAAAAGTTGCTTTGTTAATATCAAATTTAGACTTGTTATTTCTCAATTAAGACTTGTCATCCTCAGATAAATTATTGTCACGAGCTGGAGTCACACTAAAAGAGTTAACTTATATTTTTATTTGCATTATAAGGTTAAGAAATCTTTGATGGCCCAATGGCCATCCTTTTGTTGGTCCAAGTGGCCAAGGGGTTGTGGGATCAAATCCCCCCCCGCCACTTTGAACCAATATTAGCTTCCCAAATTGGCATTTCACATTTTGGAGCTTCTTTATCTGTCATTTTCCCTTAAAATAATCAATTTAGAATAACTATATTAGAAGTAATTTAATTTGTAAGTGTCTTAATAAATGTTTTTTGAGCTGAAATCCACTCGGTCCTTCATAGCCCTCAAAACTTAACTCACCGGCCAGCACTTTTCCTTAGGGAAACAGTTCAACGTGAAATGAATGTGCCAAGGAAGATAAGCAAACGTAATTGGAAACTGAGAATTTATTGCATTATTAAGAAGTTAGGCCTATCATTTATTGCTTCCATGTTATCCTAGCTTCTCTCTATCGCATATTTTTATGAAAGTTAAGAATGACACATGCAAGGTGCCCGTTTGGCCACCTTTCAATGCATGTTTTCCTCCCTCCCTGCCCCCCAAAGTATGGACGTGATCATATGAGTTGGACTCGTAAGTTTAACCCATAAAAAATAGCAGGTTAGCCAATCCACCTGCAAAATACTCATAGGGTTTTTTGGCTCGCGCTGCATATATTCAACTTGTTATGAATCTATTGGTAAACTGCGATTGGCTTGTATTACCATCTTTACCCCACAGACAAAGACCATCCTTTTTTTTTTTTTCCATAAGGCATCTCTAACCCTCTCAATAAAATTAAGAAGACTTGAGAAAGATTTTTTTTCAGTAACATACTCCTTTAGTCCTATTTATAAAGCAGAGAGAGAAAATATTTTTTATCCTATTTATAAGTCATTTCATTAAATTTTAAACATGCAATACTCTTTCATTCTTCATGTATTATAATATAAATAATTATCTTTTTTAAAAGATGTATATATTAAATAGGGATAACATTGAAATTTTGTTATATTTTAATAAAAAGATAATATGTTTTAATATTTTTATTAGTACGTGTGAAATATGTTAAAAATACTTTATAAGGAGGACCTGATGGTAAGAAGTACATATCTATGTATGTACATGTATGGATTTGATTACCCTCTTCACCATCATCCTCACATTATTAAAACTCCTCTGCTCTCTCTGTGCTGACGGTTTCAACTCACTGTCCCTGACCATCACATGAGAATTTAATCCCTGTCTCCCTATGTATTCACTCATTAACTCACTTTCTGATCTTTCATCTTCTGCCTCCTGATGATATATTTAATAAACTCATCTCAATTTTCTATAGTCGGTGTTAATATATTGACCCCTAAATTTACTACACCTCACCGGGTTATTGATTGCTAAACCTTCTCTATCCCACCTTCCCCTCTAGCCAGCTCCACCTGTAAATCAAAGTTGACAAAGTGGTGATACTTGAAAATTTGAGGAGTATCTCCCTCAAAAAAAAAAAAAAAAGAAATATATATGGAAAATCACAGACCAAATTAGAAAGCTGGGATCAGGGAGTATTAATAACTTGAGATAAATTCGGGTTGAAAAACGCAGCACTAGCTATAGACCGGGCGTGGTTGTCAATATCTGACGACACACGAAAAAGACAGAAGACAAAATCAAGAGAAGATCACGGGGGGATGAAATTAAATAAGTAATTAAAATGACCAAATCACCTATAATATATAATTATATCACAGTACTGTCCTCTGATTCTGGCTGATAATGTCACACATCATCAGAATATTTGACTTGCAACTTCCAAGTGTCCTCCATTTCCTTCACGGATCGGAGGATCATTTATGTCATTTGCCGATTCTTATGCTGCATCATCCATCTGTAATCCCAAAAGCATTCAGTTTCTATCTTTCTTTTTTCTTTTCTTTTTTGCTTTCTTATTCTGATACGTCAACCTTACAACAGAAAAATTCAAACTGATCACAAATTAACGACTGTGTCACCAAAGTTCTGCACAAGTTCACCTCGGAGCATTACCATGCGGCAAAGCTATATACCATACCATAATTTTAATTCAAGTTTTCGAGATTTTCAAACTTGAAGCATTATTGAAGATCCCAGCAATTTGCCATCTGTTACGAAAAACTTTCACAACCACCAGAATCGAAGGAGCAGGGAAATCTAAAGCTTTACGCAATCATCACACCCATGTGTATATATACATATCAGAAACGATGAACTATCCACGTAACCAAGAAGCTGTAAAGAATGACATGCTTTCCGTCGCACATGATCCAGTTTGACATGCTTATCAGTTTATGGTCATGGTCCGTCCCATTTCATCATATAAATTTTCAATACATATATAAATATATAATGAGATTAGTAGCAAATTTGTCCGAAAATATACCATCGGAGCTACAGGTATCTAGAAGTTTTTTTTTTAAACAATATTACTCCGTAAGCATAAACGACATAGCAATGTTGCTTTGACTGTTGCCCTGACCAAGTAGACGAGCTGGAGAGAAAAAGCGGGAGATAATGAGGTGAGGGTGACGTGGAATAAAGAAAGAAATAGATGACAAAATGTCATAGCACATGAGTAATTTGGTCAAAATTGTGATGTTTTTTATCCTTTTAGATGATATTACTCTTAAAAAAAAGTTCAGATACCTGTAGCCATTGACAGCATACCCTGGAGACAAATTTATACTTATTCCTATATATAATTATGCATGAACAGAGAGAGGGAGAGAGAGAGATGGGTAAGAGCGAGTGCCATAAGTGCACGCCACCAACTCCTGAGATCATAAATCCCTAGCAACTGTCCTCCACACCCTCCCAATAAATGCTCCATAGCCTCTTTTCTTAATCATCCCACTAGCCATCACAGTCATTTAATATATATATATATATATATATATATTATATGATCATGTCCCACTATCCTTTCTTCTCTCATTATCACATATCCTCACGCGCAAAACTCCATTTTCTCTCATATAGCACAGACTAATATTTCAACTTCGCTACTCCAAAAATGAAAACTATCACCACCACCGCCTCTGTCTTCCTGATTCTCTTTTCATATCTTCCTTCTGTCTGGCAACTCGACCCGCTACTGATCGCTTCAAGGGGAACAGCGACAAAGGAGGAGGAGGAGCAGGGGACAACTATGGCGGTGCTGGAGGGTATTATGGGCCGGGGGCTGGGTTTATTCCCGGATTCGGGAAGGGATTCGGGGATGGAATTGTTGGAGGAGGATACGGGGCGGGTTATGGAGGTCCGAACGGAGGCTCCTCCAGAGGTGGTGTCATAAGACCAACCGTTGTGTGCAAAGAGAAAGGCCCTTGTTACCAGAAGAAGGTCACGTGCCCCGCCAAGTGCTTCTCCTCCTTCAGTCGCTCCGGCAAGGGATACGGCTCCGGCGGCGGAGGCGGCAGCTGTACCATCGATTGCAAGAATAAATGCACCGCTTATTGTTAAAGTGGCCTTAGCCTAGCTTATATCTGGTACTATCGGAGTTATATACCGTTATTAGTACTCGCTTAGGCTTACTTTATCACTCTCTCTCTCTCTCTCTCTCTATATATATATATATCTATATCTATAGGTTGGCTTGTTTTGGGGGTTTGCTTATGATAATCTCTATAGGAAGATCGTGTATGGGAGATTATGTGATGGCAGAGGGTTTGTGGACTCATTTGTGCCTATAATAAATTAAGAGAGTATCTGTATGTTACTATTAATTAATCTGCTGTTTCATCTCTCTCCACCCAGTCTTCTCTTGTATCATTTTTCATATGTATACTTAAGTATATTCATTTAACCAAAACAAAAGAGAAAGTAAATTAATTATACATAAAAAGTACAAACGTGAGCCTTAAACAAAAACAATACATGTGCATATTTGCTTATGAAAAATCGTCATGTTGCAGTGGCCTTAGCAGCTTTCATGGTGTAGGCTAGATGGGAAGTGCGTAGAGGTTTGGCTGAAATCTGCTTTCTGTGTTAAGGGATCATGTCACTTAAATGCCTAACCTAAATCCTTTCGTGTTGGTCTATATCTACCATCCACGTGCGTTCAGTTCAAATCTGGATTCTCTCCTTCAGCTCACTAAAGTAGAGCTTACATATTTGCAGTTTGTTTTTTTAAGAATGAACGCAACATCATACTATTTGTTTAATAAAGTTGTTTATGGTATTAATACGTAGATTTTGTGCTTCATGACCAACAATAAATTTGAAAGCTTGAGTTCAACATCAGGTTGTTAGCCCAAAAATAAAAACAATCAATTGAGGTCACGTTAGCCAAAAATATCCCCTCTTATCTTTTTTCTTAATATAAAAAAGGGTGCCTGACAAAGTGTTTCGATTAGCTTGAATGAACTTTTTGGAAGTAATTTGAGGTATGAAAATGTTTTTACGGCGAGACGTGAAAGTGATTTTACAATTTACAAGATAAATATATTAAAAAGACGTTTTGTCTTGACATGTAAATATTTTTTTTACAAATACTTTTAAAAAGTTCCCAAACTTCCCCCGAGCATTTCCTATTTACTTCAGTGTTTCCAAAAATTTTTTATCAAGAGTCTTTTTAAAATAACTTAAGTAATTTTATCTCAACCTGAAATATTTATAAATACTCATACTCGCCAACCCGAACAAGTGGTCTAATTTGCGTCTGGGCGCATAGCGTTAGGTTCGATGACGAGGAGGAGTGATCTCAAGGGATAAAAGCAAGAGGAATTTTATGGGTAAAAAGGGAAGGAAGAACAGAGATTTTAATATTTTCTCATTTGTTGTGATTATAAGAGTGAGAAAATCTTGATAATCCCAATATATATATATATATCCCCACTTTTGGATGGGAGGGTCAGGAGGGGAGAAAACCAAACAAGAAAAAGGGAATATTGATCCTTCCTATTTTATTTAACCAAGGAAGGAAGGGGAGTAAAATTCTTCCACTTCTCTTAAAATTCCTCCAGCGGCCCAACCAAACATACCAAGAAAGAATCTTTAGACGTCAGGTTTGGAAACGTCCTAAAGAGGCGACTGCCAACCAAAAAATTTAAAAAAGAAAACATGTAAAATAGACACACAAGTCAACAACAAACGAATTTATAACATCTTTCTAACTAGGTATTTAGGTATGGATCTGCATAATAATAATAATAATAATAATAACAATTAAAAGCTAACAAACCACATGTTAAAGGATGAAAGAGGCTACGAAAACATGTTACAAACAAAATCACGCTCAATACAGTGCTCGTACACGCAATTTCTGACACTGATGATTTACAACAAAGATGGGTAAACGCATATACATGCAAAAGGTAGCCACTCCCAAGACACAGTGAATCATCACAGTGCAGCCCTCATTGCTCCCCTTGCAGCCTCCCGTTTCATCTCAGCAGCCTTTCCACTCCCACGGAAGTACATATACACTTGCTGTATACACAACCAACAAGATGTTAGGGTCAACATTCTATCAACATGAAAACAGTATAAATTATTAGGGGCACCCATCTGTAAGAGATGGGTGGTTCCAAGCTCAAGTGAACCATGTAATGAACAGACAAAATAATATCGAGGTTGGCTATTTGAGTTTATAATTACAGTTGACTATTGATTTACGTGTTTTTGAATTTTTATTCTTTAAGCCCTATAACTACAGGGAAATTGCTCCAGTTTTCAAGTGTAAGATGTAACCTGAATGACCCAGATGCTGATCAGTGACTCAATGCAGAATAATCCAAATCCAACGAAGTAGAAAATCTGCAAACAAAGAAAAGGGGGAAAAAAAGATCAATCATTCAAAAGGTGGAAGAGTATGTTCCTTGGTTCCTGCATTATCTGCAAGAGACCACGTTTCGTAGCTCTTTTGCTACAAATCTTAAATTGACTGAACTACTGAAAAAGTATATAATTAAACAGATAGAGGATAAAGAAATAAGAAATGCTCCTGCACAAGCATACTTACTCCAATCAAAACATGGTCGCCCAGCACATCTATTGCAGGCAAAATTCCTCTGCACCAATGACACAGAAAACAACTTCAGATGAAAATAAAGCGAAAAAACAGACAAAAGCGGTTTACCTGATTATTATGTTCATCTTATATCCAAGTTCCGTTAAATTTGTATGCAGTTTTCTTTTAATACAAGTGTGTGTGTAGATCATAGAAGATATTTCATAACTATGCTCCTCTTATGCAATGCTAAAACATTACTTCGAAAATATATTTTAAAGGAGCAACGTACGTCAGGGATTTTCCTTTGAAGACAATAGGAGGGGCAACAGCAGCAAATATGCAAAATCCGATGTGAATCTGAAACCAGAAAAAGGAACGAAGATAATTAGCTTTACTTTGATGTTAAAAAAAAAAAAGCTTTAGCTTTACTTTTTTCCCCTTCTTTTCCTATGGGTGTCAAGTACAATCACTTTACCAGGTAGAACAGAAAAAACCACGCAAACTTCATAGCACCTTCACTCCTGGAAAAATAACAAGGAACAACATACACAAATTGAGTGAAGCCGGGAACATAATAAAACTAAGTGTCTGGAATGTGGTATTTTTTATTCCACGGGATTTAAGATGCAAGAAATCTGAATACCCACAATTTAAGTTCGCAGCATTTTAACATCCATTTGTGTAACACAGGCAAATATGCACATATGTCTATACATGTTTATGTGTCCACAAGTGCATGAAGAGACACACATGCATCCACTTTCACACATATAATACATGGGTAGGGCATATGACTGCCCGCATGCGTGGGATGAACATGTCTGTGGGTGGATAGTATTCATGTGGTATGACCAGACGCACATGTTATGTATTCATGAACATATGTATTCATGTGTACATACAAGTATAGATATACATACGTATGTACATTATTATACATTGTATATTTCAACATGTGCATGTGCATATCAAAATGTGAGCATACGAGCACGCATGCCTAAATTTTTGTTCATGTAAATGTCCATGCATGTGGACACATATATGCATGTGAAATAAAAATAATAAATCTCTCTGGCAAATAACACAAAAAATAGAATTTCTCTTTTTCAAAGAAAACGTATTTAAAAATGATAGGAAAATGTGCGGGGAGGACTAGATAATCCCAGGAAACAAAGGACTATGATAGGACTGCTTTTGATGATCAGACATGCAAAAGGAAAATTAGAGAAATGCATGAAAAGGGAAAAAAATACTTTTGGTTGGGCAGAAGTTTGACTGGCTATTTTGAAGACAGAAGTAGACGATAGAGTAGCTATAGGACTGCTATGGTCAGGGTCTACGAGTTGGGGGCTGTGAAACTATAAATCTTCCCTTTTGGTTGAGCACGAGGTGTGAAGAATTTGAATTGTGGTCTTGGCCCCTCTCGAAAATTTAGCAAGTCTATTAGTTATTGGGTTGTATCTTGTTCTGTTTGTGTATCTTGTTCTGTTCCTTGTTAGTTTGTAATCCTCACCATCATCGTAGCTTATGCAGCTTATGTATCAGTATGTAAGATTCATCTATTGTCCCTTGTTATTCAGTAAAATCATTGTCGATCTCAAGTTTTCCCCACTCTCTTGTTTATTTCTGATTTTTAGTGTTGTTGTAAGCCTGTTTAGAAGAGGGTCCTATCAGACTATCACTAAGCAAATAACAAAGTTTTTTTTGCTGAACTTGTTCATACAAGCTGAATATTACTCCAAGAAGTCTTGCAACATTATTCATGTAAAGATGCTTGAAATTAGTTACATGAAAAAAACAACTGAATGCATGTAACACAGGAAATAAGTACCTGAAAGCACGATACAAAGGGCGATACCACAGGAAGTAGGCTCCAGGAACCCCTGCTATGAAGTAGATGATAGAAAGAAACCAAATTTTTACACCTACAACAAGCAAGGAAAGGGTCAACATCACAGAATTTGAAAACATAAGATTTTTTGTTCCAGCTGCTGAATAACCTGAAACTAGCTGCTCGTTCCACATATAAAATAAACTAACCTTCGCCCTTAATCCAAGCTGCAGTTACAGCTATGATATTCCATAAAAGGCACAGCACCAATCCTGTATCATATCATTATTTGCCATTAAATATGGCTATTTTTCAAGCCATCTTAGAATTCAAATTGAACAGGAAAAAAACAAAGCGTCAGTCTCTAACTATTTACCTCAATGCATTTTAGTTCCCTTTGAGTTTTTTTTTCCTCTTTTTTTTTTTTTTCCCAAAACTTCTCTAACAGCACTTAATTTGTGCTTGAGAAGAAAAATAAAATTTAACTGCTCAAAATCAGGACAGAAAACAAAAATTTAATCACTGGGCATAACTAAACCTTTTCACCTCCTAACTTCTCGCATAACATTTAAGATTCACAGAAGTTGGCGAGGTGTGTGGGTTTCACAACCCTTTAGCTGGAGAAAAGAAAACTAGAAATAACTTTACCCATTGCCCATCAGACTTTTGTAGGCATCTATGTATGCAATATTGAACAAAATTTCCAAGAAAAGTTTTTTTGGGAACAAGAGCCTTCCCAAAATATATTGTTCCTTGAAGTTCCGATAGCAGTTTTATACGTTACACAATCATAATATCCAAGTGTTGGACAAGTAAACAATGTCATTGTAAAAAAGAATAAAAATAATAGAATTGAAAGGACTGTACCTAACAACGTAGTAAAGGCAACGTACTGCAGTCTTTGGAGATGAATTGGTATTTCATTAGCAATATCATGATGGATAATTGGGAAAAATGGTGGCCAGTTCTTCTCCTCAATAACAATACCAGCTGCGAAACAAAAATTGACTCATGACTAGCTTCAAAAATTTACCCCACAGACAGTTTTTTTTTGTCGAAGCACAAAAAGTATTACTCCAAAGTTCTCTAAAAAATGACTTAGCATGCAGTGATCAACTTTATAAACACCAGCATAGCAAGCAGAAATATGTCTCTCTGCTATTTCATACAAGATGCCATCAATAACTGTATGAAATAATAAGGACCAATAAAACAATTGTAGGAAAATGTAAATTAGAAAAACAATTACAAGGAGTGATGTAATATTGGTAAACTTGGAAGGCAATGAAACTTTTTCCTGAAATTACAACAGAGGAGGAACAAAGGAAACATTCTGTTCAGCTTATGTTCAAAAATGAACTATCCGCGCCAATATAAACACTAAAATCAACAAAAAGAAAAAAGAATTCCTACAGAAACACAATGCACAATGAAGATTTAAACAAAAGAGTAATGCTCTTCCAACAAGCCCAGAATGAGGCAACCCACATCTTCAAACTCAATATTCAAATACATTTAAACAAGGAAAGTAAATTACCTCGAGCAGCAGCTTCCTCTTTACGTCTTACTTCCTACATTTTCATGGATAGATAAACAGTTATGAAAATAAAAGAGAAAACAATAGATACAATTCAAATTTCCAGTATCATTGGTTAATAAGAAAGTCAGCAGATAAGATATTCTCCAGATAGAATACTAATTAAATGCATATGCAGTTTAAAGAATAGAATGAAGCATTATCATGAAGCAGAGTTAGGAATATGCGAGGCTTATATCATGGATTAGCCTGCTTTCATATCACGAAAATTTCACACTTCCTTATCAAATCCATAATTCAGGGGAAAAATAGCAGTAGTGGCATCCACCAGGAGCATTAGTGACCATGAAGAAGAATGTATTCCACTCTCTCTTTCAGATAAAAGAACTTTTGATAGATAGAAGAAAATTTTGGAGGATAAGATGCCCTCTCATAATAAAATGTTATAAGAGAGGGCCGGGAGAAGAGATGAAACGCGGAAACAAAAGACAACATACAACAAAATAGTACCCCAGTCTTATTGAATATCAACTAAGGGAACTCCCATAAAAACATTAAGCGCTTCCGCAAACAAACGCAAAGCAAAATGGCAAACCTGCTCCCTCCTTTTCAATTCAACCTCCTTGGCTTGGAGTTCCTTCTCCTTCTTTTTTAAGTCCTGGTGATGAAAAAGATGACAATGAGAAAATCCGATGGCAATTCTTCAACAACACATATTAGAGAGCAACAGATGGGAAGAGAGGGATAAGGTTTTCAACAACCTCAATTTTATTCATACCGTTGATGTATTATCAAGAGGTATATCAATTGTTGTGCCAAAGCCATAATCAGCGGGTTCTGGATTAAGAGGTGCAAGCCTTGAATTTGCAGCAGGGGCAACGCTTCCAGGATTCTAAGAATGTCACAAAAATAAGTTGCATGAGATATAGGCAAGCAGCTGGAAGCCTTTCACAGGGTTTTTCATCTATTATGAAGAATTGGTTGAGAGATAGAATATTTCAAAATAGCTAGGGCAAACATAGAGGCAGAAAACATTTAGTGCAAAGTTGAAAGGGAGGAAAAAAGAGTGGTGGGCTTCAAAAGATTTGAATGGCTAAGATTGCTCATTTGTTCCTCTTATACACCATCATCAATGGTTATGCTTTTTAAAGCTTAAAGAATCACCACAGCATATGAGTAAAATCATGTATTGGCAGCCTTCGATTTATAAACTCACAGTTGTGTAAAATGCACCTCCGCCATAGTTTGACTGGTTTGACGTTTTTCCCCTTACTGCTGGGTCCTGCGAGTTTATATCACAGAGGAATTTGCAATAGCATCGATTCATTTTAGCTCAGCAATATCATTTGCAGATGGAAAATGATATTAAATATTATTGTCTGCTGAAAAAAAAAAATCTTTGGTGAATTGGAACAATTTCCCCTCCCCTAGAGCTACCTGACTACTTTTTGGTGCTTTGGAATAATTGAACACTTATGAAATTTATTGAGCAATCAAATTTAAATAGACATTCAATTTTAGATACGGCGGTGAGGCACAAAAACTGAGCAACAATAGCCCAACGGTGGGACTGGATATGCCAACTGCCCAGAAGTGCTAAATAAGTCGTAAACCAGCAAACCAAACATCTCAAAGCATTTTTCTGCTCATACAAGATTGTTGAGTGTTTAAATATAGATCATTTGTACATCAGCTATCCCAAACCTAAGTTACACTTCCACAAAAATATAGGCTTGAGCTTCAACTGAGTGACAATGTATACTTTTCATGAATTTTACAACTGCTTCGAAGGTACACTCGATCAGCGGAGAACGCCTCGCACTCTCTTTTCATATCATTATCAGAAAAGTATGACAATAAATCAGTAATCAATTTTCGACACTACGTCTTAAAGTATGGCTAGCTTTCATCATGCGAATGAAATTTGAAAACTGGCGTGATTGATTTTTTTTTTTTTTGGGTTGACCAGCATGGCGTGATTGATTATCTTCATGATACATCACCGAAACACATTAAACTTCGACGACAACAGCAACTAAAACCCCGGTCAGGTAGAAGCTACGACCGCAAATTATGAACTTAATCCCAAAGGCACCATCTCGACAGCAGAAACTTTAGCTGAAAACATTAAATCCTAAATCGAATATCAAATAAATCAAAACGAGAGAACATAAAGGCCCAAAAATAAGTCATCACACAAGTCAACCGCTACTCAATTCCGGGAATATCAAAAGTCTAAACCCCTAAAATTATCTATACACTGTTCCAAACTCAAAAACACCGGGAAAAAAAGGAACAAATTTAACACAAAAAAATGCCACAGTTCAAAAACAACTCCACCAGAAAAGCAAAAATATACGAGGAAGGGAGAGACGGACTTACAGAGAAGGGATTAACCTCTTCTTCATCGAAGGGGTTACGGTCGTACCGACCAGCCATCAGAAAAAAGTGAACGGTGACAGGTACAAGTCCCAAGAATCAGAAGTTGAAAAGGCAAAGATCAGGACGTTTACAGAGGAAATAGAATCAGCAAGGCTCAAAAGGTGAGGGCTTAGGAATGTTGAGATGCAGAATTTTGGATTTCTTCAAGTGCAAGAGAAAGGTCAAAAGAAGAAGAGGCGAAAGACGGAGAAAATCAAAAATTCCTAGGAGCAAGATGAGATGTCTTCGGTCTCGGTCAGCAATAGCATAATACACCTTTCTAAGAAATTTCGAAAAAACAAAGGAAACAGCGGCAGAGAGACTCTACGTTTCACTTTCGTCGTCGCTCGCATAAATTATGCGCCAATGTATAAACAAACATACATACACGAGTATATAAAATTTGGAAAAGTTTTGAATTTTATGAGTATCAATGCATTAGTTGTTGAATATTTGTAAGAATTAAGAATTTTTCATGATTTGAAAATAATCAAATAACAAGATTTCCAATTTTCTCATGAATTAATCATTTCATTTTCACTGAGGGGAAGAAAAAGAATATTACCCAAAGTTAAAAAAAATGAAGAAAAAAAAGAACATCTTCCAAAAAGAAAGTTAAAAAAAAAAAGGTGTAAATATGTGAGTTCTCATCAACAAGTCCTGATTTGCAGAAACGAGACAAAATATCATTCATTCGTGACCGACAAGATTATTTAAATGCATAAGCTGTCAAAAAGGTAAACAATTGGAGAATTCAAATTTTGTAATGTTGTTCTTTTGCCCAAAACATTAAAAAAAAATTGAGTTCTTAATATCTAATAAATTTAAAAATATTTTTATTTTGGCTCGAGTTATATTTGCATGGGTAAATGTTGTACTCCTCCGGTCCTTATTATAAGACCCAATTTGACTTTTTATTTGGTCCTAATTATAAGACCCAATCCATTTTCTCTCTTATATTTATGCATTTTTTTCCAAGATAATCCTTCTAATAATGATAGTTTTAGCCAATATACTTAATTAGCAAAGATATTTTAGGAATAACAACACTTATTTATTATAAATAACCAACTTAATTTACTTCCTTAATCTCCTCAAATAAGTCAATTGGGTCTTATAATTAGGACCGGAGGAGTACTATTTTATAAAGAAAAACAAATTTCCCATTTCATGCATAAAAATTATTTAATTATTAAAAGGATGAACTAGACATTGGAGTTGATGTGATTTTCATGGTTGTTAAGGGATGAAATCCATGGTGAAGGGATCACAAAATTCAAGTTGGGCAGTTCAAATTAAAAAAAAAAACGATATGAGTTATTTGTGACGAGAAAATACTTAATAAAACTAAAAGGAAGTTTTCCACACTATTATAACACCAGCAATATTATATGAAAGTGAATATTAGACTTTAAAAGGACAGTATCAGTATAAAATAGGGCAGCCGATATGAGAACATTGATATAAGATGTTTGGAGTAACTACTGTCAATTAAAAAAATGATAAAAAATCATTTGAGATAATTTGGTCACATACAAAAAAGACTTTTAAATGTATTGGTAAAAAGAATTAATCAAACAGTATTGAATCATCAAAAAAGAATAGAAGAAAACCAAAGAGAACACTTAATGAAATTATTGAGCAAGATTTTTCAACGAACACTATATCCAAAAATATAGCCTTTGATAAAGCTTAATGATATCGTGCGATTTATATAACCAGTCTCACTTAATGGAATAAGTTTTTATTGTTGTTATTAAGGGAAGAAATTCAAACCGCGTCATGCTGAAACATTTAATTTAATACTCCTCCGGTCCTTATTATAAGACCCAATTTGACTTTTTATTTGGTCCTAATTATAAGACCCAATCCATTTTCTCTCTTATATTTATGCATTTTTTCCAAGATAATCCTTCTAATAATGATAGTTTTAGCCAATATACTTAATTAGCAAGGATATTTTAGGAATAACAACACTTATTTATTATAAATAACCAACTTAACTTACTTCCTTAATCTCCTCAAATAAGTCAATTGGGTCTTATAATTAGGACCGGAGGAGTATTATGTTTTGCCGTGCGTGAGAGATTATTGCAACCCATATGTATATATAGAAAAGGGCACTGCGTCTATATTTTTTTAATTGAAATGTCATTTTCTTCTTGGCCTTAACATATCATTAATATACATACTACACACCAAATCCTCCTTTTAAATAACAGGTCAACTACTGTGCTTTTTTATTATAAAAAAAAGTTGTTAAGTACTTTGCCTTCATTTAAAAGCTATCGAGGTTCCGATCAAGTAACCCTTCTTTTTTTTTATTATTATTTTGTCTACAAGTAATCCTTCTATTTAAACTAATAAGAAACATCGGTCTTATTAATTAGATTTTTTTTTATTGGGGCATGTATTCAATTAGATATGAAATGGGGGAGGAAACTAATCCCTCTTCCAAACCTAAATAACTAATGACCCTTTTGGCTATGGATAAGGACGGTGCGTGTAGGGACTGATGATTGCGAGGAGCATAATTCTGTGGATTGTCAATCCTTTTTTTTTTAATGATTTTTTTATATTCTTTGTTTATTCCAAAAAAAAAAATCCCAAAGAACTAAACACCAAGAGTGTATCTACTATTCCTTCTGGTGATGTTTTACATAATATTTATAACTAATTGCAAAATTTTCTAATTGATTAACCTAAAACCGATAACTAATGACAGCTATTAGAAAAATTTTGAAATTAAAAAATAATAATTTTAAGAAAAAATTGCAAATAAAGACCCCTCAATGTGTAAAATTATGATTTGGGATCCTGAATTTGAAAAATAACAAATAAGAACTGGGTCCCACTTTTGCAAATATGAAATATGAGTGAAATGTCTAAAGTGCCCCTCAGCCAAATTGTGATTTGGTCTACTAAAGTTGTTATTCGTTAAAGTGAACTTGTTATTTCCTATAGTCAACTCGTTATTTGGCATACCCTCAATTAAGTTATAATTTGGTCTATTGAAGTTGTCATTAACTAAAATGAACTTGTCATTTCTTATAGTCAATTTGTCATTTGATTGAGAGGCATTTCAGACATTTTACTACGATTTCATATTTGCAAAAATGGGACCATGTCCCTATTTGCTATTTTTCAAATCAAGGGTCTCAAATCATAATTTTATATATTATGATGTCATTATTTGCAATTTTCTCTAATTTTAACCATCTTAGCTTACATGTAAAGTAGTTAATTCGAGCATTAAAAGAAAAGGACAGGCGGGAGTATTAGATGATTTTGGTGCGAAATACCAATTTAACTTGTAAGTAATATCATAACTTGGAATATTTAGCTTGTTAAATTACATATCTTTTATTTTATACTATATCCATAAGATAAGGTACCGGTCATGGAGAGGTACGCCGAAGTAATAGAGTTTTGGTATGAGTAAGTACCAGACAGAATATACGTTGCAATTTTAATTTAGAAGACATGGAGATGAGACTGGAAGATCAAGCCGTTTCACATTAAGATAATTATACAAAAACATGAGAAATTTGATGGAGATATTAATTATAGAATTGAAGCTAGGTAGTTTAAATTGAGAAAGCTATTAAAATTATTTGTCAACGAAGTATCTAATAAAGTGAAACGAAAATTTTATTGAACCGTTACAAGTTATAACACCAGTTATGATATATGCTAATGAATCCTAAGCTTCAAATGGATAACACAAACCAAAAAATGACGGTAGCTGAGATGAAAATTGAAGTGAATGAGCGGTCATATAATAAAAAATAAGATAATAAACATAATCACAAAAAGGTTGGAACAGCTTCTATTGAAGAAAAAAATAATAAAAAATCATCCAAGATAGTTTATTCATATTCAAAGTAATATCGGCCAACTCGTAGATTGTAGACTGGCCCATTACGGGTTAGAGCTAAACCGTACGAGTTGAAAAGACCCATATAATGACGGGTTCGCTACTGCCATGGTGAGTTGGCTTCCGTTATGGTGGGTTGACGCCAACCGCCAACTATTATTTTCTTTTTTTAAATTTTTTTATTTTTAAAGTATTTTTTTCTTATACAATATGATGAAATTTTTACTTTTCCTTCAAATACTTAATTGAAAATATCAAATAAATGATATTGATATTTTTTAAAAAAATTTTAGCTAGGATATAAAATATAATTATATAATTATAATAATTAATAAAATTTAAAAATACAAAAAAAAATGTCAGCTAACCCATAACGAGTTGTGGGTTGTTTAAAAAGTTTTGTTTGCTAACGAGTTAAATTTTAACCAACCTTAACCTGTCATTTTTTATGGATTGTTGAGTTGAATCTACAGGTGCAACTCATGTTACCAATTCTAGTTCAAAAGTTTTTGGATTCACTAATAAGAATAGTTGATAAAACAATATGAAATTTTGTAAAAAGAGATGGAGGAATAATCAATAAAATTATTGAGCAAAATCCTCCCGTTAACAACCTATCCAAAAATTTTGGTCATTGATAAAAGGTTAAAGCGCGATAGTTCTCATTTAGTGTAATGAGATTTTGTGGTTGTTGTGAATTTTTTTAACACGCGCATATTTGAACCCGTGCAATGTTGGGCGGGGGTCAGGGAGTAGACTGGTTAGATATAAATAAACTTAAAAACATTTTTCAGAAATTCTAGAAGAGTTGGTCAAGAATAGAAGCAATTTGAAAGAGATTTTCCATGTTCTCATCGACAAAAACGGCGACATTTTTCTATAGGTGCAAGCATTTCGCTCACCAAAATTATGGAACGACACAACAGGACGGCTCCAAATTAGATCATCTCGTTCTGCCATGCTTCATATTTTTCCTTAACAAGACCCTATTAACTACTTTCACAAACCTAACAAACTTAATTAAAAGGAATAAAATATCAAAAATATTTTTAAAAAACACCAATAGAAAAAGGAAAATCTCAAAACAAATCATTGTTGAATTTCAAAATTCTAAATCAATATTAGTTACTACACTCGTAAAGAAAATGACTAAATGACAACACATTTTTATAGTAATCCCTGATTCGGAATTTTGCAACTCAATAGTCATTTTTTTGGGATTTTTCCTAGAAAAAATTATGTACTCGTCCCTTTTGCCTTCAAGGGCATGGAGATAAAACTGATACTGTTATATAGATGTTCTCATTTCTCCTGAGGTGTCTTTGATTAGATTATGTACAGTGAAAATTACCAGATTTCTAACACACAAAACAAGATGCTGCAAGCAACTCCAACTCAAAAGGTACTAATAATAAAAAGACGTGGTAAAAGGTTTTCATTATAATGAGGCTGCATCTACATGACCATTATATAGCATGAAAATGGAGAAGGAGGACGCCAAAATAAAAAATAATTAAAAGACAAAAATGTGATTTTTTTTTTCCCCCCTTCTCTTTTCAAGAATTGAATGAACAAAAATTCATGGCAAGCTACCCAAACTAAAGTATACCTATATATATGTAGTGGAGTTAATGCCTGTGAAGTGAAGCTTATAGCTTAAACAGGTGGCCAAGGTCATCGATGATGGTTGCGCCTTCTTCTCATCAGTCTTTTCTGCCCCTTAAACGGATCAACCCAGTTTCTATCCTCAGCTACAGCTTGGTTCCATCGCTTTTTAAAGATTTCCAGTTCCCACGTTGACTGCCTTCGTATCTGCAAAGTCCCAGTGTTTAACGTTAAGCATAGTTGTCGTCGACTGAAGAAGATACCCGAGGCTAAATCAAATTACTAAGAGTGGTATATAAGCCTCACCTCGCCTCGCGAATCGAGAGATGATGAGCTTTGTTTCTGATTATGAAGGACAATCAGCAAAAGATGAGTGAAAGACCATGAAGTTGATGAAATATAAACAAGAGTACTAGAGAGAATCATCTAAAAAATTAAATGAAACCAAAGACTGTGTACCTTGATTAGCTTTCTAGAATCTGAACCCTGTGAAAAGAGAAGAAAAGAAACTATCATTTTGCAGAAAAACGCCATGACAATCAAGTTATCAAGGTACTTTTCTTCCTCTGTATTAACGGTTTACAAGAACCTGGTTGTGCTACCGAAAGAAATTAGAGGTGGGGAAAGAAGCAGAGTACCTTTGGGGTATCATGACCATCCCCACCCAAAGTTTGTATTCCCTTATGAACCACAAACACGCTATCAACAACTCCCACCTTTTTCGTGCGGTCGCCCTGAAAAAATGACGTTTGTTTCAATCCTAATGATAGTCATGCAGCAAATAAAGCTAAGGGAAGCAGGAGAAATGTAGCAAACTGTAAATTAGTGTGGCTCATTTTTCAAACTTCATGTAATCATAGCAGCCCCTATCACAGAGAGAACTAGGAAGGAAAAGAAGTTTCCACATCGTCAGAAGCAATGAAACTTGTCCTAAAACTATGATTTTCTCACCTGTGCACAATATCCTAGCTTCATATCCATTCCCCATCCATGAACAAGGTCATTCTGGACAAAAGAACAATGATAATGAGGAGTTTGCAAAAATACCAAACAAAATTGATGTTTTTTTATCTGTTACCATGCGAAAGAAAATTTGAGCTCCTGAAAATTACAAAACTAAGTTTGGACTTGTTTACGATTTCAAGCAAATATCCAATTGAAACAAACAAACAAACAACAAGCCTTATCCCATTAGGTGGGGTCGGCTACATAAATCACACGACGCCATCGTGCTCTGTCAACAACCCAATCCTTAGATATGTTGTTGATTAGGAGGTCTCGTTCAATGACCTCATTCAGCGTTCTTCTCGGTCTTCCCCTGCCTCTTTTTATGGGACTCCATCTTGTTTGATCCACCCTCCTCACCGGGGCCTCCAAAGGCCTTCTCTGCACATGTCCAAACCATCTTAAGCGATTTTCAACCATTTTCTCTTGGATAGGTGCCACACCGACTCTTGTCCTGATCTTTTCATTTCAAATCCTATCTTTTCTTGTACGACCACACATCCATCTCAACATCCTCATTTCTGCTACTCCGACTTTGTGCTCTTGTTTTCCCTTTATTACCCAACATTCACTACCATACATCATAGCTGGTCTTATAACAGTCCGATAAAATTTTCCTTTAAGTTTCTCAGATACCTTCTTATCGCAATTGAAAACATAAGACATATTGCCCCACATCTAAAAACTTAGATAAAAGCCTTTTGGCACCTTTGCAGACTTGGATTGATTCATATGATTAACTAATGAACTTGTGCGACTAAAAAAATACATAAGACATATTTTATCATAAGACAATGATTAAGTTTAAAAGCAATTGACTTGTCCCAAGCAAAAACATACAAAATTGATATGGACCGTGGGAATAATATTACCTGAATAAGATGCCAGGCACAATACCAAGCAGACCGAGAAAAAACAGGAGCCATACCTTCCACAAACCTATAAAAGTTGTGTTCAAAGTTTTGCTTCAATCACAATGTCATTAGAGAATATGTAAATAGCCAAATACCACAATCTGTCATGAACCACCGCATTATGAAATATGAACCAGAGAGGATCTCAGTTTTAAAGTGTTCTTGTTCGTTCTGATTCTTTTTCTGAAAGTCTGAGATGAAGGAGAAAATAAACAGGACTGAACGCAGTGTATTCCAGGGTCATTTCTTCATCAAGGTACAGAACAAAGGTTTAAACCAATCTTTTCAAACCTATTCCGCATGATCATCCTCGACCAACAAATCAAAGGTAGGACAAACTTATCCGACATCAAGGTCTAACTTTCAAGGAAATGAGCCCCTCCAATTAACATGTAGCCTAGCATATTCAATGATGTGTTCGAGAGCACCAGTATCTCAAAGGTGAAATATCAATTTACATGGGGAAACAGAAAAATGAATATCAGATGTTTACCTTGACATATAATGGTATTATAATCAAGTGAAGTAATTTATGTCAACATGATAAAGCAGCAGAAGATGGACAGAACCACTCAACGATCTGGTTAGGATAACTGAATAGCTAAAATTAACTTCTCTAGAAAGTTCAAACTAACCACTTACCCTGTGCATGGTGGCCCTTCACTAGCATCTGAACACTTTGTACTGCCTCTGCGTTCATATACCCTTCTGCATGTATGCACAGTGCATACTTCAGTTTTTTTATATTACAAGCATTGATTAGTATTTAAGATGCGCCCATCACTAGTCTCTAGCAACTAACCTATGAACTTTCTTGGTTCTTGCTCTAATGGTAATCCTATGATGTATCTCGGTTGAATTCGGGTCAAGAGCAGGTTGAGAAATTTCCAATCCTTCATCTTTTATAATTTCAAGGTATCTGCAAAAAATAAGACCAATATCAAATCTGTAGCTTTCATACAATGAGGTTTAATATGGATTCAACAAAATAGTATACAAAATGTTTTAACAATCTAATGAACTCCTTTCAGCAAACCAGAAGGTTGACCATCAACGTTATACAAATAATAAAAATTACATTTTCAAACACCCCCCAAAAAAAAAAAGTACAGGCTAAAACGTGTCAATATGTCAACAATAAGGTGCAAAAGAATCTGCCTGACCTGGAAGGGGAAAAATGCTCTACTCCTAAATCTTCATCCCAGAGAAAGATATAATCATAAATAGAAACTATATCCGGATGTAGAAATCTTTTAGCAAACCACCTGTAAAGGGACTCAAATATTACTACACAGTTAAACAGATAAACGATATAAGTATAGACACGAGTAAAATGTGCATACCCCATGTCATTAAGAAGAAAAATAAACATCTAAGGCAAGTGTTGTAAGAAAAACAGTAGTCTGCTATGACCAAGGACACAACAGCCTAAAGGATACATAATGTAACAACAATGACATGGCCAAGCCAAGGTCGTCCATTCAGGCAGTTCTAAAATACAGAATTCTTCATCCTTGATCACTGAGAATCCTTTAGCGTGTCTAAAGCATCATATGGTTACATGATACTTTTTCAAGTTCAGAAGTGCTTCACAGTCAGAAAAGTGAAGACTGATTTCATTAAGGTAACAAGAGCCATAATATTCTCCCAATTTCTTATGCTTATATAGCCCGATCAGCTCATTCTAAGTCTAAGAGACGTTTTGAATTTCAAAAAATCTCTTCCATGGTATAGAACTAACATGCAATATGTGTTCCTGGTCCATTGAAAAAGTAGAGCAACCTCTCTCAGACTTCCACCGGCCATGTGATTCAAAATTAAAAGTTACGGAAAAGTGCAGTCATCAATGGTCATTCACATCCTTACCATTTTGTTTGGTTATGAGCAGCTATGTGTATAGCCTTGCTACTCCACTTGAGATCCCCCCATCCATTCACATTACCATCGTAATGGAACAAAATGATTGTAAAATTTTCTCGAAGAAACTGAAATCAATAAAATTAGATAAGTTATGCTAATGTAAATAATTTTGACCATCTTATGATTTGATACCATACCTTCTGCACCATTACATTGACATTCTGCTTTTGCTTGATACCAACGGGAATTGCCAGCAAGTTCCGGTTGGAGTAATCACTAACCTGCAATTCCATTATCACCATCAATTCACAAAATGATACATCATTCAGCTTAACTTATTTATTAGCTCAGGTGACATAGCCTGGGGATGCTGACCTTTGACCTAGAACTGCTTCTCGACCACAAAGGTCTTAACTCAAGATCTGAATTAGCCTGTCTAATACCTTGTGGCAAGCCTTTCAACTTTTCAGAAGCTGCATAATCCTGCACAATTACACAACATTTGCCACGTGAATACATCCAAGTAACACATGCCTCCAAATCGATAAAAAAATTTTACTGATGCAAGATGCATCACAAATTCTAAAAGAAATTATTGCATATCATTTTAAGCACATCAAGTCTCAAATTTGTGGGGCAAAAGAAAATCAGGGATCCAGTCCGGCAAGTAAAACTATAGTCAGAGTGTTTACCTCTGATTCTCCCCAAAGACTCCACTTTCTGTCTACCTGATAATAGATCATTTTAAAGAAAATGGGCGAAAGATCAGCACAATCGGAACAAAAAATCTCATGTATCATTTTATTGTACAACACAAGACACAACTTGAGCCATGTGCCTACTTCAATCAAACGAAAAGTGGCTTCAAGTTAATCTAAAGCATGCTAGAAGCTAGAGGAGGGAAAATGTACAAACAACATCAAAGGTTTCCAAGCCGAGATACTTTGTTAGTAACATTATAACATTTTTAAAAGATTATAAGAGTTCAGTTTATCAGTTTTGGAACCGCTTGACACATTTTCTGATAAAAAGAAGACCGAAACCGTACGGGGACTTTCAAAATAAGGCATCAGAAAAATACACTTAAACATTTCAGACATTAGTTAAGACGTAAAATGATATCCAAAAGATTTCTCATGGCACGTACCTCTACTTCATGATATTGATACTTTGTAGTTCTATACACAATAAACAACATCACTGTACACAGAATTGCCATAAAAGGCAACTGTTTCATCTTTAAACTTGATTTTCCCTGCTGCAAAAAATATGCATGCACAAATGATAAAGTCACAAACGTGTCTCCAGGATCCAAATTTTCTTGTGGAAATAGTCCATCAAATTTAAAATGATTGTAAGGCAGGAAGACCAACCCCATCAGACAAGCCACTCTTTTTTCTGGTCATCACCTCCATGATTTGATCGGCTTCATAGAAAACTGAATCTTTTATTTAGCCTTCATTACAAACTGCCGTAGTGGAGAGTATTAGATGCCAGTTCAAGACAAAGATCAACATATTTAATATTCCAATCAAATCATTGACAAAATATCTTCATGATACAAATCCCATGTGACCATGATCTGGTGTCAGATGCAGAATTTCAAAGAACATATCCTAATTTCAGTTGCATAAAACAGGACACAGGATTCTATTCAAGCGTCTCTTAAACCATTTAGCACCGAACTTTTCCTTCTTTGGCCAACTGGCACTGGACTGAACACATAGAATTTGCCAATTTCACCTTTAGTGCAGAAGATTAGGGATCAACACTAGGAATAGCGTGATATGATGCACGTGAAGTGCGTCAAGAAAGAAAAAATGAGAAAGCTTGGGGCTCGAGACAAAAAGTCAGTGAAAACTAAAAACGTGCTTAAACGTATAGACAAAAACATCGAAAGCTTGCTTCGGATTGTTGAATCAGCACTCGCAATCGAAAGTAACAAAACTCGCAAATAAAATAACATTAAACCCCACCGGCCATCCAAACGAAACCACCAAATCAATTTCCAAGACCGGAATCAAATGCCTTACGACATAAACACCAAAGAACAAGGAAACAGGCATGGCCGCAATGAATTCTCCGGACAACGGGAATCATTAAAAGAGAAGAGGGAAGAAAAGAGAAAGAAAGTAAAAAAGAAAGAAGTTGGCCACAAGATTTAACTAGACCTGAAATCTTCGGAATATAATCGATCACAAATAACTGTCACGAAAAACATGGAGTCTTGTATTTCACAGGAAGAAATCAAAGAACACGTAAACACCTTTTCAACCATTTGAATCAGATCTAACCACTCTCTGACTTCGTTACTCGTCATTTCAGCGAAGAGTAAAGTTTAACCCCCACGTAACAGTGACAAATAAAAATCCTTCATTGACAGCTGTTCATTGATAAATTCAAACAACCATTTCTCAGGACTGAAAATTCACGACGTTTGGAACGGTTTTGAAATCCGGATGTTCTGTCACCCGGCATCTTGAAGGGAAAAAAGAAAAGACGGAAAAGGCAATGCCCACATAAAAGAGCCCAGAAAATTCTCATGGGTGCCCAAATAAAGGAAAAATATCAGAGGCATCAAAGATGAAGAAAGATCACACATTACATACCCCAGATAGACAAGGAAGCGTGGCAGCTGAACCCAGCAGGGAAAGAGAAAAACAGAGAGCTCGAACGATCCAAAACGATGGCGTCGCCGATTCGACCCGAAACACAAGTGTCAGAGAGAGTGAAACCAGAACGCAGAAACAAATTGACAGAGGATGATGGGGATGAGAAAGGCCCTCCTGTAAGGCTGAGTAAGAAAGAGTCCACAGAACGAAGGCGTCGGAAAAGCCACGTTTAAAGGGGAGGGAAAGAGAGAGAGACAGAGACTCTCAAGTGCATGCGTGGCTTTGCTACGGCTTTTGGGTTTACGGGTATATATTTTGGTTTACCGACGAGCGACCAATCACCAGTTCAATGACACCTACCCTTACCCTCTCTTGTACTCCTGTCCATTATTTGTAATCTGAAGATCAAAACTTTAATCTCTACTATTCGCAAGATCCATGCTTCGAGACCTTTTTATTAGGCAAACGACACAGTCGGCGTCTGCACCACTGAGGCACCGAGCCCTTCGTTTTGCTGATCCGGGCATTTCTTCTTCCCCTGACGCTTTCCCTTTAATCTAATCTTGCGTTACTCCTACAATAATACAAAGGATCTACCTTGATTCCCTTTCACCATAGATTTCCTTTTTTCTTTTTTTACACCCTTAGTTTAATTCCAATGTCTGTGGATCAAATGCCCTTGTGTATTAATTAAGTGCGATTCACAGGACTAAAAACTTACCACGTGAAGGTGACGACTTACAGCTCCGTGTTTGAAATCCAGCAGAGATTTTCAACGAAGTATTGGACACGAAATGGAACGATTCAAATTTCAATTCAGAGCACAACTTGCGATTGTGAAATGGGGTTTATGGAGAAACAGAGTATTGCTAAACACGTTAGCAGATTCAATAAAGGCTTCCCAGAACATAGTGCTTTCTCGCGTTTAGTATTTTATAGCACAACCGGTAGTCAATATCGTTCATAATATATTGCGCTAATAATTTGCACGCGCGTTAGTTGAGATTGAGATTCATTTATGCTGACTCAAATGCAGAAGTATTTTAAAGTATAAACCCAAATCAGGAAGAATAGTGTCAATAATATCAATTTATTAATATAAAAAACGTAATTTTGAATAATCATTAACATGTTAATTGTAAATGGCAAAGGTGGAACAAAAACAGAACTATGCCGAAACGTTTATGCGAAAGTAAAAGAAAGGGGAAGCAAATTCGATTCTTGGTTTGGCCAGGTTGGATGGATGCTATGAGGGAGGGCCCCGCGTGGAGATAAATGGGGGAATTATTTATTCTAAGGCGAAAATGGCCGCCACCAGGAGATTGAAAGCCACGAAGAAGACGGTGACCCAAACCTAAAGTGCCCTTAAGAATCATCATCAGGCCAGACAAATTACAATGGATCCCACCGGCAGCGTCTCATTCAAGGTTTGCTACCGTGAAATATTATTTTAATTTTTTAAAATATGTTAATTATAAAATTATTTTGAGATATTCTGAAAATGCTTCTGAAAAGGGGGAAAGGCTTGAGCTATCTTTTTTTTTTTTCAAAAAAAAAAGTTTTATAGTTACCTATTATTGCTAAAGTAAAATATTTACTTTGGTTTTGAATGTGTATGACACGTTTGAACTATATATGATTGAATTATTATTACTATTGATTCTTTATTCTATGTTTAGGATTTTAGCTCAGAGTGAGATTCTCTTTAGATTTCCCACTGCTTGAAATCTACCTGATTAAACAAAAAGAATCCTGGGCTAAAAATGTCTTCTTCTTCTTCTTTTTTTGACCTTGCTAAAAATGTCAATTGGGACAACGGTTATTTGTGTTTTTATTACTTTGTTGAAAATATTGGCACAAAGGCTATTGACTATAGAAATACATTAATTAGATATGTAATGCCGTATTTTGACAAAAATGAATGCCCCAGTGAGTCTCCATGACCATCCTATTCGTGTTTTGTAAGGAATTTGGAGTGAGTCATTGTTGAAAATTCGTAATTAATGATGAGTCATTGTTGAAAATTTATAATTAATGTGACATTTTATAAGTCTCATACACACACATACACACATAAATAGATCACAATTAAAAAAAAAAACGCAATTAAGATGGGAGTGCGGGAATCAAAATTTATGATCGGCATATTATCTTATTGGATTTGTTCTATCTTAAAGTTGAATGTTTGGTAGAATATTAGCAGATTAAATAATTCCATCCTATGATGGATTAAGTTTTCCCTTTCTTTGGTCAATAATAGTTGATTCAATTGATAAGGAATCGACTGATAACTTATAATATCGTGAATTCACGTCTTGCTACCGATGTAAGGATCTTGTTAATGGGCGATTTGTAAGTATCTTTACAAATGCTTTCTAGGTAGGACCTGACTCTAATAAATCCTCAAGAACTTTTGCATATAAAAAAAAAAAAACCCTTTCTTTCTTTAATCGCATTGTTAACAATTCCACAGAAAAGCTTTGATGCCACAAAATGAATTAATCATACGTTACCTACCCCAACCTCATTATTCAGTCTTAGTACTCTATAATCTTTATATATATATATATATATATATAATATTTTGTGCTTACTAATTCTTTCTCATACCCAGTCAAGTGTTCAATGCCCTAAGCAAAGTTGCCTCTTGCGTTTAACTTTTCAAATTCTCAATTTTTGGGGTTAAGTACGTAACCGTTAGAGTCGTTACACATTACTGCCGCTACATAACAGTCAAATTTAGCATCTTTTGGGTAAAGAAAGTAATTAATATTAACACAAGATATGTGAGTAGTTTGTCGCAATTAGGAGCTTTCAATGCGTAATTATAAGGAATTCACATTCGTCATGTGAATGAGTAAATGATCATACATGCACCTAACCTTAAGTTTTAAAAACACTTTAATGATCAACATTAAATGCCATCATGGAATCCAAGTCATTCTCTCTATTTCTTTCTTATTTCTTTTTAATGTGGGCTTTATTACTTTAAAAAAAACCAAATTAATAATCCAAAAGGCAAACTTTTAGCTCATGATGATCATGATTGTTAGGAGTAGTTGTTAAAAATTTGTTAATACCATACTATACTGTACTCATCAGTATTTCTTTGAAGCTGTGTCCATCGATATCTGCATATTCATCATTTAAACAACTTAAAAATCATATAAACGCATATATAATACTGTATTTGGTTTCTTGCTGTAATTGGAATAATAATTAACAAAAAAAAAGAGGAACAATGAGCTGAATATGATATTACCTCAAAAATTAAACAACTGGGTGGGAAAAACACATGCATGTAATTTTTTTTTCTCAACACGCATGAAGGTAATAATATGTACTTTGAATTATGTTTATTATTAGATTGAACAAAAAAATGGCGCTTATTTTATGTGTGTGTGTGTGTGTGATGATTAATAATATGGGAAAGAAGGCAGATGTGGTTAATTAATATATTATATAATTTGTCCAGGCACATGAGATACTAATTAAAGAACACTGTAGTCCGTAGCAACTCTGACTATCTTTGTTGTTATATCATTTATATATGGAACACAAGGGGCGTTGGTAAGCTAAAACACAAATATATTTTAGCTATGTTTAGATATTCAAGATAAATATACTAAGAATAAATTTAAATAAGAGTGAATTAGATAATATTTAATTAATGGCTTCGTTAAAAGTGATGTGAGCATTTAATATAATAGTGGATGCGAAAGCCAAGTGGCACTGTCAAGCTTGGGAACGAGAGTCTTCCTTTTTTTTTTTTTTTGAATTACGTGATTTGCTAATATTAGTAAATTAGATGATTTTTTGTCAAAATTTTAAATTCATAGGTGGACAATGGTGTATGGTAGATGGACACGAGGGTCAATGCATTGGCAAAAAGGTCAGGGGGGAGACAAGTGTCCAAGTGAGGAGTGGGTCCCACCCATCTTAAAAAAATGGCCACCCCATTTCAGGCGCCACCCTCATCCCCTCTTATCCATTCTCAACTCACACGCCATCCATTGGCTTAATCTCCCTCCAGCAATCAATCCTTCAATAATTGGTATACTCCTATTATTTGTCCACTTAGATTTTTGTTGAGATAGCATCTATTTTAGTTTATCATGTTGCTCTTTCCTGTTCTACATATAAAACACTTTCAGCCGTAAATTAAGAAAAAGTGATTGATAATATGCTCATATAATTTTTAGTCCTAAAATTTGAGTTTATTTTAGTATTAAAATATGTTAAAGTGTCTCAAACAGTGATAAAGTGGTGATGGGAACTTACTAAATGATACATGATCGAATCTTGTTCACCCACCAACTATTTCTTTCTTGTTGTTTGTTTCCGAAACTGTTCACCACGCTGCGTTTTGAGAACTCATCATCCTATATGTAATTGTTCTTTGTGTTGTACTACTATTTTGAAGACTTGTTTTTTTATTATTCACATAAAATCTAGTTAGGTGTCTTCTGTTGAGTCCACGTCTCTACTTTTAATATCATTTATGACACATAAACAGACTTTAACATTTTTGCACCTCCAGGTACTAGCATTTTAAGATGAATTAAATTTCGTGGACTAAAATCCTCAAATTTTAGATTCAACTTAATTTATTATATAAATCCTTAATTTATATAAACTCTTAATTTGTTAGATAAGTTCGAAATTGATTTTTTCTTTTCAATTTCACTATTTGCATGTCGTGGGGCAACGAGGGGAATGACAATATAAACTAGAGTTGTGCAAAAACCCGGTGGTCCGGTATGGTTCGGTCCAACCCGAACAAACCCGGTCCAATCTGGTCCAGAAAAAATTGGCTCGAAACAAGATTGGACCAAACTGGACTGGACTGGTCTCATCGGGCTGGACTGGACTAGGGACTGACCCCTCAGACCAGTTGGTCCAGTCCAGTCCAGCCCGATTTTTTTAAATTATTATTTATATAATTTTAATTTGATTTAATTTTTCTATATAAATTTTTTATCTATTCAAATAATTAAGATTTATCTATTAACTTTCGAAGTAATGAGCATGTATATATATTTTCTACAATTTAAGATCTATATTGATGAGAATTAATTAATAAAACATGACTTCATTGGGAAATTGAAAAGGAATGATCAAATTTGATAAATTTTGAATTAAAATATGTGCAAAATTTTATATAGTAAGTTACAATCTTGCCTCCTATTGAAGAAATTTTTTTTTAAAACAAAAATTAAAATTAGCTCTGGACTGGTCCAGGCAGTCCAGAGGACCAAGTCCAGTCCAACCCGACCTCGGGTTGGCACTGGACTGGACCAGACCTCGAGCTGTTTTTTTCAGCCCGAGATCTTTACTGGACCAGACTTCGGGTTGATAACAAACCCGGTCCAGTCTAGTCCATGCACACCCCTAATATAAACATTCAATGAAGATTAGAAAGATGTGAAACATATCATTAGTCAGATTATGTCTGTAAGATGAGGTGGGAAAAATTAATCCGAGGAAAGAGCGAGAGAATAGTTTTAAAAAAAAAAAAAGACATCCTAGATGGTTAATTATTTAATTACCGTAGCTTATGACTACTATATGATCATTAATACCTAATTTTCTTTCTACTGTCCTGATGAAATCACACGAGAGGCGTCGTTTTAAGAATTTATGTTCAATGGTTGGGTGACTAAATATATGATCGTGATAGCTAATAAAAGCCTTCCAATCAAAGTAATTAAACTTTGACTATTCACAGTTAATAATAAACACAATCTGGTGGATCTTCAACTGCCACCACTGAACACGGGTCGTGGCATCTAATCACTCCAGTCAAGATAAGAATCTTCCAAAATAACAAGTATAATTATCGCCTGAGTATATTGCAAGTTATTTCATTTTATATATATATGTTTTAGTTTAGGTGAATATTTAGAAGGGAGAATTACAATTAAATCCCATACAAAAGAAATAACTACTAAAAGGTTTAATAACAACTTAAGCAGTTTGTAATGACAAGTTCTAGAGTGAAGAATAATAATCTCTGAGACTTGTTTTGTAATTTTTTTTTTCTTACATGAAACCTCATTGTAATTCTCCCTATATTTGGAATTGCTTCTGGCCAAAACAAACGTATTTAGAACTTTGATCCAATTTGGTGGATTTCTAATTCTCAGCTCATCAAAAATCTCTTTAACTGGCCAAGTAATAACAAGAAAATACATAAAAGTGAGCTTCACGCCACAACTAATTTAACACAAGATTTTAAAAGTATTTTCAATTACATATCTCTTATTAAATCAGATTTTATTTGATGTGGAACTTCTCCGTTTTCCCAATATTGAATTAAGTTTACTTACACTTAACATCCCTCTAATATATACCAGATTTTGTAAGAAAACACATTAAGGCATTCATCTTCATAAAGTTACACATCAATTTTGTCTTGAACTCTATTCATTTGATTTTTTAAAATTTGGATTTTGATTTTTTTTTCTAGATCTTTATGTTCACTTAAGATCTTTATGATGACCGATTTTAAATTAATCGTGTAGGGTCAAAGTTCTAGTTTTGATAAGCATAATTAGGAGAAACAAAATCTTGTGAACATATGAGTAACTGACCATTCTGACACACCCTCCAATTATTAGTTAACCTAAAACTCGGTTTAAATAAAAGTTTAGAGGGGGAGATGAAGAAAGAAGAACATGAAATCCATACGTGACTTGACAATTGACTTGCCAAAGAAGAGATGTTATTTACATGTGTGTGTCTATATATATATAGTTAATACCATTGTTAATTTCTAAAAGTTCACTTCATTTTAGTTTACTTAAAATAAAAAAAACTCCAGAAACAGTTTTTTTTTGGGGCCTTAAAACCTTATTTTCCAAACAGATTCAAATTGTTGATTGATCGCCAGGGATAAATTAGAATCAGTAGTTTATTATCTAATAGATTTCTCAACAAAATTTCAAGGACTAGGACTAAAATATGGTCAATTATTAGAAACTAAAAATGATATTAAATCATATATATAACATTTATAAAATGAGATGTTAGGTTTAGGTTGGTGAACCTTCTGTAACCGCAATTGAATTTTTCTCTTGAGTGGACCTAATAATTGTGACTTGAAAGTTATTCATGAAAAGTAAGGGATTAGCTCCACTTCCTCCAATTGTGGGAGTTACCTTATTTTTGGTCCATTTGATTCTCCTATCGTCTCGTATTGCTAATGGAGCAAGTTTTGGCACTCTTTTGCAACTTTCATTATTATTATATTCTCCGATTTTGCTCACACCTAAATCTTCTGTACAAATAATGTTTTTAGCCATTTTTATCATACACACGTGTCCCTTTCCTTTCCTTTCCTTTCGTGCAGTCATTTCCCATTACATTTTGTGTGTGTGTGTGTGTGTGAGAACAAGAAATGATTGCTTGCTGTGAAGGGAACCATGTATCTTATGTTCTTATTCTTAGAATGGTTACTTCAAGTCCAGCAAAAGAAATTTCCTCCCTAACAATTTAATCTTTTTTTTTTCTTTAACATTTCTATATATCAGTATAAAAATATAATATTTTCCATTGTTATTTTTTTTTTGAGATGTTTATTAAATAAAAACACAATACATATCAAAAAGAAATTTGAATTTCAGATACATATTAATTTTTTAGAAATAATAGATATATAAAATGTGTAAAAATGGATTAAATAAATTTTAAACGAAAGAAAATGATACAAAAATTTTAATTACCTTCTGGACTGCAAAATTAAATTTACGGGAAAATTCTACAAGAAACTTATAGATATTTGGGCTTGAGGTCCAAGCCCATGTTATTTCCATTACTTAAACACTTTGCAGTTCACACTATAGTCCAGCAAATCGACAATTGGCCCAATGTAAATGGGCTAGGTAACTCCGGAAAGCCGAAAACAAAAGATACTCTTAAGTCTCGTGTGCAATAATTAATTGATTACAACATAGAAAAAATTGTATTTTAAAAAAGGGATATGATCTCTTTATATTTTTATTATTTAATATTTAATATATGTAATAACAAGTATTATTCTTTATGTTTTAGAAAGCACATGAAATATTTTTGTTATTTATAAAATATATTGTTTATCTTATTTCCTCCGTTTTTTCAAAGGAAGCTTCAAAATCTGAAGTTTTGTTGCATTAGAAACTTATCATTTTGCAATTTGATTTAAATAGTCTAAATTCGATTAAAATACCCTAAAAAATTTTCAAAGTATAAAATTAAGTAAATTTGAGAAAAAAACGGTGCGGTATTGATCATAACCAGCTAGTAATTAGTACAAGTTTGTTGACAATTGACATTTATATATCCCAAAAAGAAAAAAAGAATAGAAATTTTTGTACGAAGATGACCTTGGAATTTGGAAGGTCTGTGATCATTAACCAAACCCTAATCATCAATTTACTCTCGCTCTTTCCATTCCGTTCACAATCAAAGATGAATTACAAATTAGTTTACATGTCAATTTCGTATCAATAATGTGTGATGCTGCAATCTTTCTATTATTTCTTGGTCTTATTACACTCCTTGGAGAAGCATTATTAATATTCTCAGCACATACTTTTTCAGAGACCTTATGATGATTATACTTTTGGGTCGCTACGGATGATGATTTGATCGTAAAATCTTGAAGATCGAGTGAGTTACTGAGTTTCTGGGTTACAAGGTCTCTGAGAATTAGGGCAGATTGGTACTCACCAGTGGTCTTGGGGTAGAAGACAAGAGCATTGTTGGTGAGAACAAGTAGGTCTACGAAAAGCTCCGTTCTTGATTTTATGGTTCTGGTGCTGATTCTGTATCTTATGGCATCCAAATCCATGTGCCTCCTGATCATCTTCTCGTACCTGCGTGTCTTCTGTTTCAGAGATTCATTTATCAGTCGGAGGATGTCAGTATATAGTATGTTGCATGGTGAAATTAAAAATGATCAAACAGAAACATATGAACATGTAAGATTGATTCAGTACTTGAACTTAACACACACACACACACACACCTGACTATACAAGCGATGTTTAAAAACAGAAGCAGCTTTATTTTCCACCATAGAGTCGAAAATGGAGAGCAAGTATTCCACTTCGTCGTTTAAACTTTGATTATTACAGTTGTTGCTGGTTGAAAATTCTTCAAAACCAGACACGACATCATCATTGTCATCTGATGAAGTTGTGTCCGACAAAGACTCACTGTCCCTCACACTGCCAAGTGTGAGTGAACTTGAGCTGCTATAATCCTTCCTCTTCCTCTTCCCACTCCTCGTCTTCAGATTACTCCATTGAAATTGTCCTACGTTGGCAGAACAATAACATGCCGACAAGTCTGCTGCACTATTTGAAGCTTTCTCGTACTCATGACAACAGCCTGCAACTCCAGCAGGCTTTGTCTCTAACATGATCTCTTGATTCTCAGCCTCAGGAGAGAAGTTTTCTGTGTTTCTGTGCGTGAAACTCCCAGAAGATAACTCATGATCTTTTGGTATCGTCTCTTCTGTGCAATAATTATTATTATTATTTTGCCCACCGCAAGAATTATCGCTTTCTTTCTTGTTGGTCTCAGGCTTGAGGGATTTAATTTTTGATTCCAGAAAGCTGAAAATTAAGATGTTTTAATTTTTTTTTCCTTTTAATGAAGACAGATCATCCTCAATCATGTGTGTGTGTGTGTGTTGCTGTAGAATTAATATTCATAAAATATATTAAGATATGCATCAATGTTTTAATATATAGTAAGAGCTCTAGTAAAATTACTGAGGTTTTTGTAATGAAATATATAAAATCATGAAGCTTTCCGAAGAGTTTGATGTCATATAAAACTGACCCAATTGAATTTTCAGAGAGTTCCAAAGCTCTCTTCAACTCTGCTACTCTTTTCTTTGTAAGCTCCTCAAACCAAGTCCTTCAAGTTCGTACGATTTATCACAATAATAGAAATTAGATACAATATATATATATTTGATTTATATATGCTAGATATGTATTGAATATATATTTTTTGCCTGATAGATATGTATTATATACATATGTCTATATGTTACCGAATTATGAATTTGATTTATCATTGGAAATAATTTAACATTGGTTGGGTCTCATGATCTTCCTTTACCACATTGTCAATTATACATTAGAGTAGTAATTCACCTTTTAAATTATCAAATAATTTTCTACAACGCCCAATTGCGAAAAGTAAGCATAAACACAAATACGCATGTATGTATAGATATGTATGAATGAAGGTATAAATTATACTTACGAGCAAGCCGCAGAATATTGCTCTTTTAAATCTTCATACTTAGCCTTACAAACCTGCGAAGAATTACAATGTATTTATTAAAATATATTATTTTATAGTTTTTGTGGAAGATCATTTTCATGGAATTAAGTTGACTTTATGTTTTCTAAAATTAGGGACAAGTTTTGCACGTTAATAGAAATTATTAAGTAATCCTATGTAATTAAATCTAAAATTAAAATAGTATGATTATAATATTATATTACTTCTAATGTATATTTTCTTTATATTGGTGTTCCTTAATATTAAAAAAATAGAAGCAGTCAAGACTCAAGAGCAAAAACTAGGGGGAAAAAAGACGTAAAATTTCTCTTTTGAATTAATAAGTTGAAAAATCAGATGTGAGATTTTGTAATCTTTTTGGAGGTTTTGTTGTTACCTGAGGAGTAAAAACGTAAGAGGGAGTTCGAGTTTGGAGTTCTGAAGCAACGATGTGCCAATTTTGAGTTCCATGACGAAGAACTGCTCCACCCAACAATAGCTCTTCCCACGTATTCCATCTTCCTATCTTCATCATCGTCTCTTTTATATATATATATATATATATAGAGAGAGAGAGAGAGAGAGAGAGGGGGGGGATGCTGCTTCTGTTTGTGTATGCGTAAATGTGTGTGTACAAGTCTGATGCAAAAAAATAGTGCGTCCTTAAATATTTATGTTAGGGTTTGCGTGAGAAGACGAGGGATTTGTTAGATGAAAAAAAAAAAGATTATAAAAGATTGGTGATTTGATTTCTAATATCTTTTTTGTTGTTGTTGCGAACATTCGATTTCTAATATCATATCAAGTATAGATAAATATATATCCCCTTCGTCTATTTTTACTGTATTGTATTGTATGTTCCCTCTTAGCGGGGGATGAAATTCAAAATTTAAACATCCGATTTCTATGATATTACGTTTTATGGGAATTTTTAGCATTATTATCTCTGCAATAATATATATAATAATGATCCGACATATAAATTTTTATTTTCCCAAGAAACTAAAAGATTTAAAATTTTATTAATAGATATATCTTGTAAATATAAAATTTTATCTATCATGAGATCTGTTAAAATTCGTAATATCTTATCATTCCAAGATATCTAGATATAAATAAAATCAATAGTTACCCCATATATTAATAACCCTAAAAGCTTGGCGATATAAATAATTTAGAGCTGTGATGCGCGCGCACATACACAACCTTTTTTTGTTAAAAAAATAAAAGTAGAGTATTTTTGGATAAAGTAAATTCGGCTGCTATGTTAGGAATTAGGACACCAACACAAAAATTTGCAATTGTTCATAAATAATGTAGCAATTATGAAGTTGGGCAAGACCATCAAGTTAACAATCATGAAGATATTTACTTTAAAAAAATTGGAAACAACTGGCTCGAAAAAGGTAATTGGAAACAACAATAGCCAATAGTTATCATTTCTCATAATTCTTCTTGTCATTGTCATAAATCCGTAAAAAATAGTAGTTTTCTCCCCCTAAAATGCTAGATATATATCTGGCTTCACATTTAATTTTTATTTATTATCATATTAAACTTCATACATCGTAACCTTAACAGTAATATAGAAGATCAAGTTTTTAATATTTACACTGTTGTATAACTAATTTGGGAAAGGGATCTCCATTCCCTTCAGTCACATTTATTAGCCGAGAAACCACAGTCAAAGCAAAATCGTAATAACAGCAATTTCTTGAATTCAAACTCCAACAAAAATCAGAACTGAATCAGTTTAAACAGAAGAACTGATAATTCATTTCATTGATCATCAAGAATACATACAAATTTCTAAGGCTTCTGCTATTGCATCTACATGAACCTGACTGGTACATTTGTTGGTAAGGATTCAACCCACACTTGACTAAACAATGAAGGATCCGAACTAGTTTTTAAAAAAAATCTAAAGAAAGGAAGAGAGAGAGAGAGAGAGAGAGATACGTACAAACAGATATACCCTTGAAAAGCTGAGGAAAGATGCTGCCATTTTCAGACGTCCATAAGATATATGAGATATGTCTCGTTCAGCTCTTTTTATAACAAGACGGCGCTCTGCTGAGGACAAAGCCAAAGATGACAGCTACAGGCACAATTCAAGCCAAACTGTTTTGGTTGTGACTTGTGAGTACAGAAAAATAACACATACAGGTTTCATGTTTTGTCTATGTAATCCTGCGCTCCCAAAGAGTAATGCGCCAAGTGGCACTTCATGAATTAGCTGACGTTTCATCAAGTCCAAATCTTCAGGATTGTTGAAGAACTAAATTTAACTCCTGGGCAGACCTAGCCAACAAACCACCTCTCCTGCAGCAGAAATCAGATCATTTGTAATTCCTGGCGAACATCATTTTACAGGAATTTTTAGAGTAAAATGCATCCAATTCCAAAACCGAAAAGGGTAGAAGGTTATACTTGATGTATAAAAAGAAACAGACTGAAAGATTGAGATACCGGTTTACTTAAATAAAACTGAGGGATTAAGGATTGACCATTGACGAGGATCATGGGCAATACAGCCGTACTATGCTAACCTTTTTCCAACACAGTAATTTCATTTTCATAGTCATACAGTTCTTATAAAACAACACGTTCAACCTTTTAAGGGGGTCTTTGGAAGCATCCAAAAGTGCTTCTCAAAAACACTTTTCCACAAGACGAGTTAAACTCCTCCACATATTTACTTCGTACACCGTGAAAGCACTTTTAAAACTCCACCCAAACACCCCCTAAGTTATGAAGTAAAAAGTGGCAAGGACTTTCAATTCATTCTTTATTGGAACTCTTGGTCTGGAGCATTGCTTTTAGTGCACAAATCGGTAGCACTAAAGGCTGCGCGATTACCTTATTAGCAGCGGAAGAATCTTTTGGATCTTTTGTAGTTGCATAAAGCACTGGTTGCAGTATTCCCGTCTGCCCTCAAGATTCCATGTGGAAAAAGTGAACCTCATCAAGTTAGTTTTATTCACAAGTAACAAAAGGAGACAATAAAAAGTGTGTGGAGATCAAAGGAAAGCACCTCTGCTCTGCATGCAGATCAACCCCAACAGAGGGAGGTGCTCTAATAGTTGAGTGTATTGTTGGTCCAAAAACTGATACAAGCTTCAATTGCAAATCTAGTGACAACTTTACATGCCTGCACAATCGAAAAATCAAGAAACCATATCTTGCTGAGATTTAAAGGAAAGGGACGCTCCTATTAATTTCATTGCTGAGTTTCTAAATGAAACTATAATCAGCCATATATAGCAAAAGTTTTGCTTAGATATATACACTCCTATTACGGGATCAAGGTCCACAAATGGGGTCACACAAGAGTTCCCAATTCCTCCATATTGTGAAACCTATCATGGAGAGTTTTCCTGCCACTATATTTATAATGAATTACCTTTCTATCTTGCTGTCCAGCAATCCTATGAGCACAGGAAACAAACAAGTAAACAACTCTAAGGAGAGAAGGTCTGTCTTCTCCGCAAGAACACTAATAACATCTGCTTGCACCTGCATAGGGATTCAGAAGGAATATATGTGCAAGGAGGAACCATCAACTCATAGTTAGAAGCAACAAATATGGAAAAGGCAACAAGAAATTGTAACACATACAATTCAAGATACTTACAGATTGGTCTGGCAGCTTCCTCAGAGCATTGATTGCACCCTTAATATCATTCCGCTCCCAAAAATGTCGCACCACCTGCAAATGCACGTTAGAACCACTCACTGATTATAAGCCCAGAATGTCTTCAAGTCTATTATTCTTTCTTTTCAGACCCAACAAAAAAAAAGGTCTATTATTCTTTCTTTGCTCCTGTAATGAAGCTTGTCAAACATATAAAACCATAAAAGCATACTGCTGAATACTGTTGTTCCAAGGCCAATGTTAATGCAGCCAGACAACAACCACAAAATTGTACAGTAAACTACTATGCGAATAATAATTGTTAACACAAGCATGCAGCTAAAGTTACCTGTACTTTTGTCAGACGTGAGCGAAGATTACTTAAAGTTAGATCATGAGTTCGCATAAGACCCTCAATGATTTCTCCTTCATTTGCAGAGTTCAAATCCCTTTCAGAAATTTGAGGCTCAACTTTCTGACAAAATCGCACAAGATTAATTTGACTGAACTCAACTAATTCAACTTTCTTAAATTTCATGAAGTTTATTTCATGCGGTGAAAGAGTTTTACCGTGATCAAATGAGAGTTATCAACCTCACATGTGGCAGGCATGGAGAGTGTAATTTTTGGATCTTCACTGATGTGTATTCTTTCCCTGCTTTCACTCATCATGTTGGGGGAGGGATTACTTTGACCATCATTGGCATTATTAACTATTTCCCTCGTTTCACATTTGGTAGTGAGGGATGAGTTAGTTTGATCTTTGTTGTTGGGAGTTCTATCTTTTCTTTCAAACCTCTCAACCAGAGAACGGGTCCTTCCTCGCACTACGGCAACTGCCAGAAGCAAAATTTAATATTATACCTTCAGTGGTCATTCTAACATACAAAGCCACATTAGTAAGAGATGGCAAACCTCCATTGACATATTTAACTGGACTAATCTCCTCATTGCAAGGGATGGACTCATTACCTGAATAAAAAGAGAAAATTACTTCCAAGAGTAAAACCAAAAAAAAAAAACAAGTAATCAGCCAGAGTATACAGGTCATACTTGTGACTTGTGAGTTGGCTTATACATGGCATCTCAGCTTTCTTTTTTAAAATTTTTCAACAGAAAATTGAAGCCAGCCACAAGAAACAAATATCACCATATCAGGGTAGCAACTCACTAAAAAAATATTTTTCTATTTTTATTAAATATTAATAATTATTTAATTAACGTTATTATTTTATTGATTATCAATTAATAAAATAAAATATTTCATAGAAATTAATAGATTAGTAGAAAAAAATTCATAGAAATTAGAAAGAAAATAAAAGCTCGGGTCATGGTAATAACCAGTTATCAAATTAACAAGAGAAATAGTTTTAGACAATTATGTCATGTAACAATAAACTTACGATGTGTATGTGTGTAGGAAGAGAGAAGTAAATAGGATAAGGTAAGATAATAATGACATGGATAGGAGCAGTCGACCTGTTCTAATGTAATACCAAGAACTTACGTGAATCCTGTTCAGAGAGTTTGTGTGGAGAAAAAGCCTTGTCAAATTTGTCTGCTACGCTCTTGATAGGATATTTGTCTTCACAAGAATCTTTGACTTCATCTTTAGATCGCAGCTTGTTAAGATCTTCTACATTGTCTAATTTACTTGTCGTATTCTCAAAAGTTCCAGAACCCACATCTGTTGAAAATTTTTCTGCATCACTTATTCCAGTAGATGCTCTCCGTATATGAGTCGGCTTGAGTAGCATCCCAGGTTTTGTCCTTGAAAAATTGATAGCTTCTTTCCCAGTTTTAGCTGGGTCATTACCACCAGAAATGTCCCGAGGTACAATGTTTGGCACAAAGAAAGACTTCCTATGTGCTTGTTCATTTGATTTTGTGTGAACTCCAGTTGTAGGACTCTGCTTCAGCATTCCCAAATTACAAATTTCCTTGGAATCTTCCATGAGATCAACTTTTGGAGAATTGGAAGAGGCCGATCTCTGTAAGGAAACAGGTTTCCCTCCAGAAGCTTAACGAGGAAGAAAAGAATTTTATTAGATCAAGAATTTGGAATGTATTGAGAATTAAGAATTACAAATAACTGGGATCTGCATTCATCATGCCAAATCCTTCGTGAATGCTAGTGAGTAAATTAAACTTCCAACTTAAGTCTCTAGATAGTTATAAGTAGAATCCTTCACCCCAAATAAAAAGATTTGATACAATGAAAGCAGCATCTTATAAATTCATCTGTTAGGTGATCAGGATGTAAAAAACCATATTTTGCAAGTAAAATTTCTAACAAAACCAAATATTATATCAAATTATTCCTTCAACAAACCTTAAAACATGCAGGGATGCAGTTCGTACACGGCATCAAGATAAAATAGGTAATTTTGAAGTATCAGAAGATTAATACAAGTTGGATTTATCAAATAGAAAGATAAGGGGGAAAAGGAAAGGCAGAAGGCGTTTAAAAGTGTGACTTAGGGAAGACAAAATATAGGCAACTTACAATCGATATATATGTTCTTTATCTCTTTCGGTTCACTGTCAGGAGACATAAAGTGCAACCCAGAAGTTGGTCCTACATCCATCTCCACTTTCTCTGGTTGATTCTCCTGAAAACTGAGCTTCTGATCCACACCACCTTTATTCTTGGGTTCCAAACCAGTGCCATATGGCTCAATAAACTAATATATAAAAAACTATGCTCAAAATAATGACGGAGGAAAGTTACAAAACCAAGAAAATAACACACTGACATAGGACAAGCATAGAAAATGGCAGAGAAGGGAGAAAGAATTAGGGAGAGAAGAGGGGGATGGGGGAGGGAGAAAAATTCTGATATTTTATTTCATCAATTAAGATCGTCAAAATCTACAGCCCCGAGGATCATAAAATAAACCACAACACATATGCTGAAAACAAAAAATGAAACTATAACAGAGATAATCCCTAATATCAAGCATGCCAAAACTAAAAAGGAAATAACAATAAGCCTCTTGATTCTTGATTTACAGATAATTACCCACATTACTCTTTTTCCCATTCTTCATTTCACACATCAATAAGGTTACTTGACAATCTCGAAAGATTATAATGCTTGCCAGTTGCCACAGTCATATCACCTTTAATGCCGTAAGAGCAGATGATATTAATATCCATTTATGACATCTTTTTAATTTGTAATTTGGGAATCATTGTCTTGGATTGGGGATTTATTGTTTGTTTATCGATCCTTTTGAATTTTAAAGTCTTTTGGTATCTCTTATTCCTACTTTATATTCACTTGATCAATGCAAACTAATTTGAGTGGCGGTATACAAGGCATGTAATGTCATAAGGATTTTAGAATTGTTATTAAATCAAAACGAATTAAGAGCTTTAATTAGTTGTTCTTGGTTCCTATTCAGTTCTGCATAAACTTAAACCTCATCTTCGCTATTGGCATAAACAATATACAAATTATGCCATCATGTTTAGAAGTTATTGATGTCATCTTGCCATCAAGTTACTGAGTATGAAGAAATTCATTCTGAGCTACTCAAAAAATTATAAATAAAAAAATCGTGTTGCACCCATTTGGGAAAAAAAAAAAGTCATAGTGGATCCTACTGATATATCTGCAGCCCAGACTCCAATAGAATTTCGGTAGTACGAGCAACCCAAAAGTTTCCCATCATGAATACAGAGGTCACCAAGAGTGGTCCACCCCATATCAACAGTGTCATGACATATTACAGGCTCCCATGAATACACCTGGAACATATAGGCATCACAAATTATGTTTGTGTTCCCTCCCAACTGCTGCATTACTAAATAATCTTATCATCACAACAATCTGTACCTTTAAACCATCCTCAAGCCCAGCAAACAGAGCCCTTCCATCAGGATGGAAAGCTATTGAGCGTACTCCTGTAGCCTGTAGAAAGTAATTAGTTTAGTTTGAATAAGAGAAGAATAACTTTCATGTGTGAGACTAAATTTTCCCTATTTTACGCACGCACGCACGTGCACACATAACTAAAGTGCTTGTGCATGTGCTTGCACTTGGGTAAGCATACAGGCTTGAAGAATAAAAAAAATAGAGCATGTTGTTGACCACACACTAGTAATTTTCACCCAAACTCATCAATAACCAACAACAATGTGATGGTCGGCCCAAAAAACTAACAACATGATGGCTCAATGGTAAAAACTGTCAAGAATTATGCCTCGTTGCTAAAGTTACCAATGAGTTTTCATACAAGTGGTATGCAACTGAAATAGATCTTCAGAAGAAAGGACATGAAAGAAGCAAATATGAATGCATAAACATAAACTGAACAAAACTTGTTCTTCTTAAACAGTAGAAAATGAAAATCAGAAACATTAAATACCTCACATCGAGCAGATCCAATCATTTCAAACGATTCTAAATCCCAGAATTTCACTGTTCTGTCTGCTGAACCTACAAAATGTAATTTTAATTTATTATACATTATGTTTCTTACCCTTTCAATACATTTAGAATTGTAATCACCATGTGTAGGGGGGTCAATGGACCCAAACATGAGTAGGAATAGGAAACCCCTATTGATGTGCTACTCTCCTTCCCCCAACCCCCCAAGTGAGCCAAAAGCAGCATGCTCTATGTACTAAAATTGCATGAGTTTTAATTAATTTTGACCAATAATACAAGGCAATTTATTTATTTCCATTTAGCACTAAAGATGATATTAAAGAAATTCCTGGGTACATTGCATGTATTTACACGCATCAGCCCAAATTTAATCTGAATGCAGAGGGCCTGCAGCCTGCCAATCAGAATGGGTAGAAAGTTGAGACATTGCAGGTTGCTTGAACATGCACGCAACGCACCCTAGAATTTCAATTTCTCATGATATACGTGTCAAAAAAATTTCTTATATGGAACTACCCCATAGATGCAGCTAGTCATTGTTCAACAAGAAATCCTTACAAAGATACTGCATGTATGCAACAGAATATGCTTCTACCCCACCAAACTGCTCCAAGTTCACTGAGTCACTAACTCACCTGTAGCTAGAAGAAACTCAAGTGGATGGAAATCTATGGACCTAATATGTCCTTCATGGAACCCGAAGTCATGCAAGAGCTTTCCAGCAGTTAGATCCCACACCTGTGCAATGGTGAGGTAGATCCATAGGCTCATTATTTTAACAAACGTTAAAATAAAATGTAAAAACATAACAAGGCCAAAGAAATTGCGCGCAATACGACAATGAATTCACATAGCTACCTTCACAGCATTATCAAATCCACCAGAAACTACCCATCGGCCATCTGGAGTAAATTTGATAGTACTAACACCTCGGCTATGACCCCTGTATGTGTGAATGCATCCTTTTTTCCGTATATCCCAAATCCTGAGGTTAGTATCCATGGAGCCAGATGCAAAAAACTCACCAAACGGATGAAACTCAACGGCTGTGCAGTTGGATCTGTGTCCAGTAAGAGTGCGAACCACTATACTTCGAGGATAGAAGCAGGTCTATTAGGAGCTTATTGTTAAATTTTGAAACACAAATCCTATAGTAGTTCTCAATTTGAAAAACCGAGACCTCAAAGCGATAACAGCACTCCTTAATTCACCTATAAGGTGATGCATGTAATGTAGATTATCTGGCATGTATTATAAGTGGAAACAGACAAAACTTCTAAGTTTATGTTAAGCCAATTCTTCCCTACTGTCAAATCTGAGCTCCCCAAATAACAAAACTATACAATATATTGCCCAAAACTTCAGCTCACGGTCATTCACTTACTCTTTGCTTCTTCCAAATCCCAGAGCTTTATTCCTCCACTTGATGCCCCAGCAAGAACTAACGCTTCTGCTGAATCAAAAGCCACAGATTCAACTGGACTAGTGTGACCACACAGGCTCTGCAAATATTTTCATTAGACGGAATTATTAGGTCAGAGTCATAGTTGGCATTGCTTCCATCAAACAGTAGTCCTATACCATGATTAACATCCAATCAGAAGAAATGCCCAAACGAACGGTTTCCATGAGCAACTATGGTAGAAATTTCCAGCCTTAAATTGACTTCATAATGAATGTCAATAGAGCAAAAACTATACAAGGAAACACGCTTTTCATCACGCTGTATAGATAGCATCACGTGAGATGAGGTACAGATTTCGGCTTAGTATTTAATATGAACCTGAGAGGGCATTCTTCAGTCACATACAAAATATAACTCCCAAACCGCTATAAAGTGCATATCAGAAATAGAACTTCCATCAAGGGCTTTAGCGGCCAAAAAAAAACAAACAAACAAACACAAACAAAAAAAAAGTTATCCTTCAAGGGCTTTTGACCCTGCAGTAGCCGTACGTCTAGACAACAAAATTTGAAATCAAACTAACCATTAAAGAAGTTGGCTTGCCAATCGTCCATAGATTGACCTTGTGATCATCCCCTCCTGTAAGAAAAAGACGACGTGCCTTCTTCCCAATACTTAGACAATTGACGTTCGCTGAATGGGCCACAAATTCCTCTGTAGTTGTTTAGCTTAGGAAAGGACATTATCAAATAAACAAACATCTATACTCAACAGAGTCATCAACAGACTAATCAAGATTAAAAAAGAAAAGGAGAGAGGAAAAAAAAAAAAAAAGCAAGACCAGAATATGTCGAACCAACAATAAAATGGGAGGGAAAGAAAAAGCATGGATATAACACGTTAATTCGAATATTTTCCCTAGATTTCCAAAATGCTTCAGTTGATCTAAATCATCTAAACAAGAATGAAAAATAAAAGCTAAGATTACATTCCTATCTGCCCCGATTTCCCAGCAAACAAGCATAGAGCAAGACCTACACTTTTGACTTCGTCATAATTTCCATTTTGCTTCGAGAGCTTCCTACATTTTCATTTTGCATCAAATTTGTTTCGAAAACCGAAGGAGCATCCCTTATCTTCACAAAACAGAAAACCGAAATTTGGGGGGGGGGGGGAAGAGTTTGCGGTTTCGACCAGTTCTGCCAGATTTCAATAGAAAGAGCTACTGGTAACGATGGTCTCACCAAATAAGACACAAAAACCAGTTCAATTTCAAGATTAGTAAAGCAGAAGCAGTTCCTGCTGAGCATTTTCTCTCAAATAATGCTTTATCCTCAAATAAACAGGATACGTAGTTTGTATCCTCGCTTAGCCATCTTTGCTTGGAGAAATCAGAAGCCAGCTTCCGATTCTGAAACGAAGATTCCTTCCGGGCGACGAAGTGATGATTACGACTTGGTTTTACTTCAAAATAAAATAAAAATATATATAACTGCTGCCACTCTGCGACTGCAACTGGGATTCAGAAAAAGAAGAAGGTAAAGAAAATGAGGAAATTTCACATGGAAACGGACGTTAGGACGAAAGAATAATTCCGATTCAACATTGAAAAATGTTTTTCCTTTCACAGGAAGCAAAAGAAAAGCATGGTGAGTCCTTTCTTCCTCTTTTGTGAGGGCCTTTTTATTGCTGCTTGACATAAAAAGAATGAAGCCGCTGGAAATCCAGATTTCTGACATGTATCAAATACACTCCTTTCCCTGTTCCTCGCTCAGACCAAAATGCCCCTGGATTCTTGCGGTTGTCCGCCCGAAATTACATAAAACCCTTCTTCTTGTCTTGTTGACGTGTCAGTTGCGGCCACAGTACTTTCTTGTATGGCCACATAATATTCATTAATTATTTAATAATATAAATTATTCTGCCAAAAAAATCATATAAATTAAATTTGAATAATTCTACCTAATTTAAATTACAATAATATTAATTATTAATTTATTATTTTAAAAATAATAAATGTTATTAATCATGATAATAAAGACTACATGGACACACCGAAACTTGCTGGCGCTTAGCAGGTCTTCATAGTTTCCTTTAAATGAGGGTCATTTCTTTTTCTTTCAATATTTTTGCTGAGTTGGTGGTGCTTGCATCAGGTCAACTAATTTATCTGCTTGAGTAAAATGAACTTTATTCACGCCAAACTTGAAAGGATCGAAAGTTATTTTTAATTAAAAAAAATTAACGTAATGGGTTTCAGATTATCTGGCTTTCTTTAATTGCTTATATATAATCAAATTAAAGACCGCATTAAACTAGCAAGCTTCACTTAAATAACCCAAGGGATGCTTTAATTAACGTATACAATCACATCTGCTTTAACATTGTGGATTTGATTTTTGAAATTAATACATACCATTTTACAACTAATTTCTGAATATTAAGAAAACTAGTTAAATCAGTTATTTGTAATAAATAAATATTTAAATCAGTTATTTGTAATAAATAAATATTATATTTCTTAAAATATATCTATTAATCATGTATATTAAAACTAAACTCGTTGACATGTGTAATTATTATAGAAATTACTTAAAAGTAACATGAATAAATATTGAAAACAAAATAAATTGATGTTTTATACTATCTCTGATCATAATTATAAAACCTTATTTATAGTCTACAAACGAAATATTGTAAATAATACTAGAGTTACTTCTTCCGGGGTGTTCATACCTACTTTTGTTCTAGATTTTTTCTGTTTATACCTAATTTATAAGTTGATTAAAAGAGGTATTAGTTACATAATCAGGTCCATTAACAATAAAATGACGTAATGATGTGTAATTAATAGAAGTGTCAGGGAACAATTGTAATACTCACGGAAGGGAGTATTATTCCTTGAGTCAATGGGTCAAATGAGTAGAATGAAGTAACAAATTGGAAGGGAGTACATAAGGCAGGAAATTGACCAGTATCAAACATTAGGATATTCCTTTAACTATAATCACGCGTTTAATTTCTTCATGTTTAATTTTTCATTATTTAATGCAGACAGAAGCTTAGAAAGGAAAGTTTGTGCTTTGCTTTATTTCAATCATTCATTTGTGTTCCCACAATATGGATGGCCACACATCAACTGCATTCTAATTTAATCGGTTATTAATCATCGTGATTAACTAGTCGCCTATAATTAATCAATTTGACTCTTCCCTGTGTGTATATATATTTGATTAATGTCTCTCATAAACTTTAATTTAATTGGAATATTTATTAAATATGAATATTAAAACTCTAACTACATCTATTTTTAATTCGCCGGGGTGTTTGGATGACAGGAAAAGCATTTTTAAAAGGTATTTTCACACAAATTGAGATAAGACTCCTCTCACATACTTGTTTTGTATATCATAAAATTATTTTTAAAACCGTGATTTGGCTTCTAAACATTCCCTTATTTCAAAAAATTTCCAAAATCACTCTCTAAAACCAAGCATATGGCATGGCATCAAGGAGACACATCCCATTATTGAAGTGTGTAGCGTGTTGCGAATGTGCCATAAACTTTTATAAATTCCACGTACTTGTCTTGGATATTTTATTTAATAATAATTACAAAAGCATCCATGATGACAAATCACATGGGATATTATATATATGAAATTCTAATGACAAAGCCGTGATCTCCTCCGAACGGGGACACAGGCCGAAAGATCAAACAAGGGGGCAAAATTTTCCCCTTACTTATGCTCAGTAAATTAAACTCTAATAAAAAAATATACTCCTCCACTTCTTAATATAAAACTCATTTAACTAATTTAATTAGATTAAAAAAGTTAAGTAAATTAGTTAATTATAAGAAATGTGACACGTTTTTCTTAAAATATCATAATCATCTTTCTTAATACCCATTTACCTCTTTTACTTATTATGTTTGAATGAGTATCCATATGGGTAATTTAGATAAAATTAATAAATATAAAAAATGGGTCTTATATTTAAGATCAAAACCAACTCAACAATTAGGTCATATTAAAGACCGAAGAGTACATATAGATATAATATGAAAATACATTATAAATACTTTATAAAGATTGCGTAGCTAAAAAAAAAATGATTCCCACTTTATTACCCAAAAACTTAGCTTTCCCTTTTGTGTATAAAATAATGGGGAAATCACAAATAAAGACCCTCGAATTAGTAAAATCACTCTATGGTCACCTGAAAATGCGAAATTACCATGAAGGACCCGGTCTCAAATTGCAAATAGCAAATGTTGGTGAAAAGACGAAATTGCCCCTCAGTGATTTGAACCTGCTGAACCCGCGGCACGTAGTCCCCCCACTATCGACAACTTCCCACTGTTCTCTACATTCTCCCTATTGTCTCCATTTTCGCGCACCTGCGTACTGCCATTTTGCCGTAAGAGTAGTGTGGAGAGGAGTGTTGAGACGGTGAAGAGCATATTTGCTGTGACAAAGGTGAACAGAGCAGTGGTTTATTGGCATTGTGGAAGGGTTCAGAGAAGTCGAAGGCATCGTTGAATAGTGCGGCAGCAATCGCTTTAGGTGATCAGAGTTAGCAGCTACGTTGGGCGACTGATTGTAGTAAGTTTGTTGGCTAATTTTGTTTGGATTGGTTGCTGCAAGAATGTGCGAATGATTGGTGAGAGTAAAAGAGTTTAGGGTAGGAAAGTAGAAGTACCCAAATTTTGATTGAGTGATGAAGAATGTTATTTAACAGAAAAATATAGGTTTTTTCTGTTAAATAACCTGTGGAAATGGTATTTATGTGGGGAGGGAATGACAATATCAGTTTCGTAGATGACAATAATAGTAGGGAAAATAACGACATAGGATATAGTCAAGGGTAAATTTAATTGAAGAGGTACTAAGTGTGTTTTGTTATAAATGAGAAGGTGGACGGTGGGATTTGATAAGTTCTGTAACGAAAATGATAATTTAAGAATAGGAAATGACAAGTTGATTAATTAGGAATCAGAAGATGTCAATGCGAAACTGACAAGTTGGTAATGGGAAATAACAAAGTTATAACAGTGAATAACAAGATTTGTATGCGAAGTAAGAATTTGATAATAGGAAATGACTTGTTTGAATAACAAAGCTGAGTATGACAATAAGACAAGTTTATCATTTCAAATGACAAGTTAAACTACTAGTGTATGATCAGAAATAACAATTATGATAAGTATGTGGGAATAACAAGTTGAGCTTAAAGAATTGACAACTTTTGTAGAGAGAATAACAAGTTTATCATAGGCGTTTGATGGACAGAACGAGTATTGACAGAATTGTTGTTAGTCAGTTAATAAGTTGTGTTAGTGAACTATTGTATGTTGAATATTTTGCAGGAAAAAGGACATGGCATCTGAGGGAGCCTCCGGATCAAAGCCGGCACACAATGGCTGGTTGCTATTCAGAAGGGAGTATTTGGCAACATTAGGTGATAGTGATATCAGAGGCAAACAAAAAAGAGACGCTGTGTCAAAGGCATGGAGAGCTTTGTCTGATGAGGAGAGGAAGAGGTACACAGAGGAGGCGAAGAAAAGAAGGCCAGAAAAGATTGAAGAGGAGAAGAAAAAGAAATATGTACCATCATTTTTAACCCGAGTGTCCTTGAAAGGTTTTAAGAAATTACTGCACTTTGTGAATAATAATGATGAGTTAAGGGATAGGGTGGAGAGGATAGGATTTGGAAGCTTGTTGAAGGTTGGATTGAAGAGACTTCCCCGCGATCTCCTTGTGACTATGCTAAGATCATATGACCCACCAACACATCAATTTACAATACGGGGGAAAACTGAGGAAATAGGAGCAAAACATGTTGACAAGCTCCTAGGAATACGCCATGGTGGGGAGAAGATTAAAATTGAAGTTTCGGAGGATGATGAAATGTACAAGAACTTGAAGAATCAGTATCGGAGAGTGCCATTCAGCAAAATACTAGATGACATTATTTCTGGGGAGGAAGATCACAGATTTGAATTCTTGTTTGTCCTATACACGCTGGGTACCTTTCTATGTCCGTCATCTAGCTCAGAAGTGAGTGAGCGGCTGGTGAGAGTCATGCGTTCCACGATGGATGACTTTGGAAAGTATGATTGGGCAACACATGTTATGGAGGACCTATGGAAAGAAATGGCTGACTTTGTGAAGCTGTATAGACAGGGTAATGATGGGCAGGGGAGCAGTACTGTTGGTGGCTGCGTATACTTGCTTCTGGTATGACTATTTTGTTTCTCACTGTGCAATACTTTATTGGCAATATGAACAATGTAATTGGTGATGATATGTGGTGTTGCAGCTTTTTTTCGGTGAGCATTTTAACCTCATTCAAGGTTCACAGCGAGGCTCCACCAGTGCTATCCAATACTGGACAGATGAGAAGATCAAAGAATTGGCAATACTGAGAGGAAGAGCGTTAGGGGGCTGTTGTATGGTGAGAAAGGGAGTGATGTTGTGTTGGCAAAGACGAGAGGATAAATGTTGATTCTCTGGACCCGGTATGTATATCTTGGTAGAGTGATATTCTTGGTGAATTCTTCTTTTTGTGATAGTTACGTTGTCATTTGATAAATTGACTTGGTATATATAAACTTATGTTGTGATTAGGTTTAGTGAAGTTGTCATTTGTTATAGTTGACATTGTTACTTGATAAACTTAACCTGTTAAAAACGGTACCAAAGTTGTGATTGGGTAATGTGAACTTGTCATTCGGTAAAGTTCAGGTTTGGGTTGTTATTTGATAAAGTTGTTATTGATTATGCCTGAGTTGTGATGGGATCAAGTGAACCTGTCATTTGTTACAATGTAGTTGTTATTTGATGTATCGAAGTTGCTAATTATAATTTATTAGTTGTGATTGGCTAAACTGAACTAGTCATTTGATATAGTAAAGTTGTTATCTGACATACCAAAGTTGTTATTTATACTACTGATGAACTTGTTATTCGCAATAGGGAGAGGTTGTAATTTGTTATAGTGTAGTAAGCTTGTAATTTCATATGAAGTTGTTATTTATAATATTTACTTGTCATTGGGTAAAGTGAGCTTGTCATCTGCAATAGTGAGATCATGATGTGGTATAATTATGTTGCTAGTAAATTGATAAACGCCATTGTCATGCAGGAGCTGAAGCAGTTGCGTGCACGATTAATGAAGAGGATAGAAGAAAGCCATCAGAGGCTGATGAATATGGTAGATGAGGAGCTGTTGAAGGTGCACATTCCAAGAGAGGCAGATGGGAAGAGAAAAGGAAAGGCTCCTGCTGAGACACTCGCATCAATTGTTAGTGGGTCTGAAGATGACGATGAAGAGGAGAGACAGCATGCTGGTGAGACTAGTGAAGCTGTGCAGAAGAATGATGGAGGGAGTGATGGTGAGAGTAGTGAGGAGAAGGAGAAAGATGACGAGGGGAGTGATGATGAGACAAGAGAGGAGGAGGAGGAGGACAAGGAGAAAGGTGACAGGGGGAGTGATGATGGGACAAGTGAGGAGGAAGGCAAGGAAAAGGATGATGGAGAGAATGATGAAGATAGTCAGGACAAGGATGAGGGACAGAGTGCACAGAAGGACAATGATGAAATGGAGGGTGACATACCCACGCCTACTACCCCCATAAACCTGTCATCTAATGTTGAAGGTGATGATGCGGAGGGTGACAGAGCCGTCACTATATCCCCCCTAGCAATTGTCAAATATGTTGACCCTGTTGAGAGGCAAACCCCCATCAGGGTGGAACCTTTGACAGCAGCTGAAGGTGTGCAGGCACAACAAGTAAGGAGATCTAGCAGGGTTCGCTTCAACAAAATTAAGTCTCCTTGGTTGGAGTTGAAGGCACAAACAAGGTTGAAGAGGCCTGCAGAGGATAAAGACATTTTCTTCACCATTGTCAGCCGAAGTGTGAAAGGTGATGAAGGCGACTAGTAAGTATTGTGATACTCAGCTTTTGTGATGGGGTTTTGTTATCACTTGTTAACATAACCCATATGCTAACTCACTTCAACCATTGTCAGTCCTTTGATTAAAATGTATGATGAAGATATTACCCGACGCTTGCTGCATTCTCTTGGGGGAAATAACAGAGTTAGTAACAGGGTCATGTCATTAGTTTGTAAGGCCGTGGTGGATGAGCAACAGGCTGTGGAAGGGCGTGTAAGGAGGCATATTTTTGATGCGGACTTCATGGTGAGGTTTCTTCATTAGTTTGTGAAATGATAAGTTTGTATATGAAAATTACAAGTCCTCAAAGGCAAATGACAAGTGTAGTATATAAAGTAACAACACTGTTAAGGCAAATAACCGTCTAAAGAAACTAATTGCAAACTGACAAAATCAATTTGTGTTCTTTATTAGGAGTTAATGATCCGTGACCCAGCTCGGTGGGACCCTAACTACCATGCACGACAAATAATTCCTCAATTTGTCGGGTACAACATAGGTGACTGTGACTTGGTTATGGGTCCTGCACTTGTTGGTGAGCACTGGTTTTGCTTTGCCCTTGAACCCAACACCATGAAGTTCTATGTCCTGGATTCCATGCGAGGAACTGTTCAGTCTAAGAAGACCACAACTAAGAAGAAGAAGCAAGCAGTCACCTATGACCCTCAGGAAATGGCCATAGCAGGATGTGTAAGAATCACCTGGGCATATTACATTGTATTATTATTGTCTGAAATTATAGTGATGTTGATATCTGATATATGTGTAGAGAGAAAGGTTCCACGACATTATTGGCATGGTTAGGCCAGATTTGACTGAGAAAATGCCAAATTTGGAAATTGTGCGGCCTGATGTACCTCAACAGAGTAATTTGTGAGTATACATACACTGCACATGTAATTTGCTGATTTCCTATATTTATTCTCGAATTGTTAAACTGTGATGGTGGTGTTGTTCCTAGGAGGGACTGTGGGGTGCATGTCCTAATATGGCTCAGCAGATGGGAACCCAATCTTCCACTAGAATACACCCAGGTGATGTGGTTTGCTTAATTGTTGTGACTGGTAAAGGGGCAAAGTAAGATTAACTTGCTGTTGAATCTGTTTTGCAGGGAGATGTGGCAGCTTTTCGGCGTGATCTAATGTGGTGGCTGGTGAACCATGATAACAATGAATGCCGTGAGGATGCGCTGAATCTTATTCCACATCCACAGAAGGGGCGAACGTCCAAAAGGAGGAGAAAGTCCCTATAGAAAAGAATTTGGGCCATGAAGGACATTGACTGTAGATAATGTTACTGCGTTATCATTATGTGTAGTGAACTTGTTGTCTGGCCTAACTGCTACCCAGTTATGACAATTAGTAATGGTGAAATGACATTTTTATTGACATCATTGAAATTGTGTTCAAGTGATGCGATTTCCACTTTTCTTTAACGTATGACAACATCAATATGCCAATTAACAAGTCCATTAAGCAATATATGAAGAACCTTTTTTTTTATGAAATGACACTATTTCCACTTTTGTTTAACATCTGACAACTTCAGTATGCTAAATAACAACTCCGGTTAAGCGATACATGAACTTCAATTTTTTCGAATGAAGTTACAGTATTTCTACTATTGTTTGACGAGTGACAACTTCACTTGCGAAATAACAACTTCGGAAGTGGAAGCGGCGAAGTTCATTTTTTTCCTGTTTAAATGACATCCTTTCCACTTTTGTTTACCCAGTGACAACTTCACTTTGCGAAATAACAACTTCGGAAGTGGAATCGGCGAAGTTCATTTTTTCCTCTTTAAATGACATCCTTTCCACTTTTGTTTACCCAGTGACAACTTCACTTTTCGAAATAACAACTTCGGAAGTGGAATCGGCGAAGTTCATTTTTTTCCTGTTTAAATGACAGCTTTCCACTTTTGTTTACCCAGTGACAACTTCACTTTGCGAAATAACAACTTCGGAAGTGGAAGCGGCGAAGTTCATTTTTTTCCTGTTTAAATGACAGCCTTTCCACTTTGTTTACCCAGTGACAACTTCACTTTGCGAAATAACAACTTCGGAAGTGGAATCGGCGAAGTTCATTTTTTTCCTGTTTAAATGACAGTCTTTCCACTTTTGTTTACCCAGTGACAACTTCACTTGCGAAATAACAACTTCGGAAGTGGAAGCGGCGAGTTCATTTTTTTCCTGTTTAAATGACATCTTTCCACTTTTGTTTACCAGTGACAACTTCACTTTGCGAAATAACAAGTTTTGTTAACCATTGGCAATATCAGTATGCAAATACCACAAAGCACAGGTGGTTTGACAGCAACCTCTATTTGCTGATATAACAAGTAAGCAGTCTGCATTTACAAATCAAGCAAGGGAGTTTACAGCAATACTAGTCAAATAACCACAAAGCACATGTGGTTTGACAGCAACCTCTATTTGCTGATATAACAAGTAAGCAGTCTGCATTTACAATACAAGCAAGGATTTACAGCAATACTAAGTCAAATAACCACAAAGCACATGTGGTTTGACAGCAACCTCTATTTGCTGATATAACAAGTAAGCAGTCTGCATTTACAATACAAGCAAGGGAATTTACAGCAATACAATGTCATTTAGCAAAAAGTAAGAGGTCCGTTTACAACAACCAGATTTTGCAATAGTCAATAACAAAAAGACATTCACAACACGTCGTTGACTTCTTTTTTCCTTGTCAGCAAACATATTACTTGCAAAAATAGCTGTGTAGCTATGCAACTCAACACCCTTCTCCCAAAAAATTAAGAAGAGTGGAGCGTATATACACCAAAAAATTAGTTGTCGCTTGTAGAAATGAACTTCAAAATGGGTTGGGATTTTTGCAACTCCTCCTTGTGTGTCCAGGTTGGTGGCATCTGGTGCAATGGTAGACTTTTTTGTTCTGGAATTGTGATTCCTGCCGTTTAGTCCTTGGTCTTCCAGGAGGCCTACTTGTATTTGGTGGTAAAAGCAGGTTTGTTCAACAAGATTCTCAAACCTATAGTCATTTGGGTTAGGCATATCGATTGTTACCACTGGAACCATGCTCCTGCCATATATTTTCTCCTGTGCTGAAATTTTGTAACAATCTTCAACATATTCATATATTTCCCCCCACAGTCTTAATGGCTGCACAAGCATGGCAGCATGGAATTCCTGACATTTGCCAACCAAGACAACTACATTGGTGTAGACCAAGGTCTACTCTTTGATCTCCACGAGATGTATGTACACACAGTCTTCCGCCTCCATAATTGTCACAGCTCATATACCTACTGAAATACACATTCTCCAGAACCTTTGCCCGGTTTTTGGCCCAACACAATTCCTCCACTTACTCATACACATATATGATGCATGCATCTTCCTTGCTACTTTCTCCCGATGCTCATGGATCATTTGCGCCACATTATGCTTTCTCTCCTTCACCATCCAAGAATTGAAAGACTCAGCTATATTGGTTGTTATATTGTCCCATCTTTTAAATGGAAACTTGCTCATTGCCCACCTATTCACATCACCTTGATTGATAACCCAATCATGTAACTCAGGAGACATAGTTCTCAGCTCTGCCATTGCATTATCAAAGTCACTATCAACCTTTGCATAAGCTACTCTATCAAGAACCTTTAATGCATCTTCTTTTGACCATTGGCTTGTCCTTTTACCTCTGTTTACTTTCACTTGTTCAGCGCTGAAGTTTTCCTTCACATGCCTATAACAATACGCATGTCTTTCACCTCCAAATATTGCTTGGACAGCTCCTATTATGGCATTGTGTCGGTCTGACACAATCGTCACCTGCACCGAACCAACAATTTCTTTAATTTTGAACAGAAACCAAGTCCAGTCATCAAGGTTCTCTGATTTCACCACTGCTATTGCAAAAGGCAACAAGTCATTATCTGCATCATATCCCGACGCTGAGAGTAGTGTCCCCTTATATGGACCACTTAAATGAGTTCCATCAACATATAATATAGCCCTTGCACCACTCAAAAAACCCTCAATACACGAACCATATGCAATGAAAACCCGCTCAAATGTATTACCAATGAGCGCCATTCAGCAACTGTTTTATCATCAGTTTCCTTTAATCTTTGGCATATCCATGGTATGAACATATAGGATTCTTCCGGTTTCCCATGTATGTGTTCCATGGCCTTTTCCTTTGCTCTGTAAGCTTGAGCATATGTTAGCCTCACACCATATTTCC